TTAATGCCTGAGCAGGAAATGCTGACCTGGTGTTGAACTTTGACCCTCACCTCGGTGAAAGCCTCAGGCACAACCAACAAGGGTTAAGCTTTTGGCATTTATAGTAAAGACACCTTCACTGTGCAGTAGCTCACATTTCCATTGCGACAGCTTATGTTTTGTAATTCTGTAATCACAGCTTATTATTCAGTTGGGAGCATGCCATCTGTCGAGCAGCACCACCACATGCTGTAAACCTCATCTTCCATATGGTGTGAAGACGCAAAACCTGTGTGGTTGATACAACCATGAGGAAGGTCTGTATTTATAAAGAGCTTTTGTACGGGCAGCACTTTGTCATAAATCTATCAAATTGTTGCTACAGCCGTCAGGGGCAATATGGAGTTCAGTAACCGGAACTTGGGGAGACTGGTATCGAACTGCCGACCCTCTGGTTAGTAGACAACCTGAGCCAGAGCCGCTCAAAGACTGAGGATCTCTCTGTGAAGGATGCTTGAGAAAATGTGGCAACATACATAATGATTTAGATATCTTTTTTGTGTCTTGCCATGTTCCTTCCTACAGCTAATTTAACTGAATCTAAAAAAAAAAAGATAATTCTTAGATTGTTTATGTTGCAGGGATTTGTACCATGCAGGTTTCCACTACCATATTCTCTTCTCTAAAATATACAGATGGAAATTAATCAGATCCAAAGCAACAGAGTCCGTCAGCAGACCAGAGGGTGCCGGGGGTGCAGGGTGAGGGGTTATAGTTTAGCAGGACCACATAACAGATCATAACTGTGGTTGCTTCTTTAAAGGAAGACCCGTTGGTGACGAGGCCTGTTGCTGGAAAAGCCTCGACATGCAATCAGCGAGTTACTTATTCAGTTCAACTTTTCCTGGCCTGAGCCTCTACCCCTCCCTCTAGATTCTGAGCTTCGTAAGTGGCAGCCAGGGTGAAGAGCGTGTTCAAACTAGATCGTTCTTTCTGATTTCAAGCCCTGTCAACAGAACACAGCAGATCCTGCACGCTGCAGAGTATTGAACAGACAGGGTGCTTTATTTTGACATACTAAAATCCTCACTGAAAACGCCAACAGGGCGAGGGCTAATAGAAGGGAGTAGACTCACTTTGAAGGAAGACGCCGTGTTGACGTGTGAGCCAGGAGGTGACTGTCCTCATTTTTGACCCATTGCAACTCAGGCCCTGGGCTAATAAGGCGAAGGCTTCGACTGATGTTTGCGTTGTTTGCGCGGCCGGTTTATGGACAGCTTTATCGGAGGACCTGTCAGGTTGAGCTGAAGGTCCTTTACAGGGGGGAAGATTTATGTTTGGCCCGGACACCGAGCGGTTCAGAGCAGGAAAGAGCAGCTGCTGCAGAGCCACCCTCAGCAGCTGTAACTCATCTGCATCTGGACAAGGGTTCAGGCTGCGCTCCTCACGCTATTAACCATGTTATTGTGGCAAGGTGCTCTAACTGCGATGAAGAGCTTGTTCAAAAGAAGAATGGAAGCACATTGATTCCATGATCGTAGCATTCGATGGCGCTATCTCTCTGAATATGAGTCAAATGGAGGCTGTGAGTTTTGGGCTTGCACTCTTTTTGCGAAAGGAAATGAGAGATCCAGTTTAAAATGACTCATTGTTTCCATAAGGTCATTTTCTAACCCCTCGACTTCTGGCTGCAATTGATTCTCCCCAAACACTCTGAGTATTTCCATATTAGCCAAGGAAAATCCATAAACTACCCACTTTTTTTTTTTTTACCTCCTCACATCTGCCAGCTACATCACAGTTGTGGCAATGTTCCCACACGGTTGAGTTCTCGATGACCTCAGAGAGGAGGCTGGCTTCTTCGTTATCTGTCTGATGGAGTGTGCTAAATGATAGGCTTAGACGCATGAGTCATGTTGAAGAGCTCCAGACTCCATGTTTTAAAACCAGGAGAGGAAACCGTCTGCCCACTTCGCTGACTAGTGGAAAATCCAGATCAAGCAGTCAGGAGGGAGAATACCTTTTCGCCGCTGTCACGATTTGAACTGTGCCTCTCACGGCGTCTGTGGAAAAGTGTGGGGCCTGCGATGAATTAGCTGAGAGGAGGGGAAAAAGTGAACGTCCCTCTCCTCCACCCCCTCAAGGCTTGCGGTAGGGATTTTAAGGCTGCTCCGAAAACCACACTTCTCTTCCAGTAAATTTCAAACTCTCACAACAAGCAGCGTCTGAAATCTCTCAAAACCCATCAGGAAAAATCGTTCTGCAGCCTGAAGAGGAGCAAAGTGTTAAGAGTGGCGCATTTCGTGTCATTTGTGAGGCCATTTTGAAACACTTTACACTTCTTGTTACTCAGAGCTCTGGATCTCATTTTCAAAAGCCCACAACTCAGTCCGTTGGACATTAAAAGGCAGGAAATTTCCCCTTGCTGGAATATGTCTTGTTTTTAGAGTCGTAAAATACTTTGCGGCCGACAGAACAAGACCGACTGAGAAAGCATACCTTCAGGTTGATCTTGTACTCACAGAGAAAGGCTGTGGTCCTCAGCCAACACAGCTGCATGAGAGAAGCAGGATGATAGAGTCTGTGTTGTGTGTCCAGGGGCGTTTACAGTTGCAGCTTTTTGCATGAGGGTGAATGTCACCTTGTTTTCTTATGTTTTATAATGAGAGTCCAAACCGAGGCCAGATAATTATAATAATAACCAGGATGCTTTGAATTTCAATATGTGGAGATTATACTCAGATGGAAAATTTCCCCAACCAAGTACCAATAGTTTTATGTTAATTTGATGTGGATTAGGAAACATGATATTTAAACTACTTACTTTTTACGATTTTAGTATGAATGAGAGAAGTGGAGAGATGACGGGATAAATAAAAATGATGGGAAAAAGAAATGTGGTCCGTGGGTTTTACCTAAATAGAATAGTTGAACATTTCTGTGAGATCAGATGTAATGAGCGTTATGTGTCTGATTACATGATGCATCCGTACAAAATCCAAACCTTGAGTTTCCTTTTAATTAGATGCCGTCCCAATGTCTCATCTTGTTAAGGCAAGTTTAAATGTCATTTAACATCATCCTCTAACTGCATTCACTTTGTCTGATCTTGTCCCAAGAGTCTTTGTGTCTCCTCTTTTATAAAGTTTCACACAGGGACCATTGATGTCATCACTGCATATTAGACCTGTGCAAAATAGTGAATTTAAAAGACCTGGTGTCCTTTGATTTTGATCAAATTTATTCCAAAATGAAAAATAAATCAGTCAGTCTGATTCAGTGGGTGTTTAGGGTGAATTACTCTCTACCACATAATATTTCCAATGAAGGACGCCAAAGTTAAAAATCTGTCACATGAAAAGAACTATTTTTGTAATTTAAATGATTATCGTGAAAATATTCCACATTATGAAATATTTTTTCATGCAGCAACTCCTCGATAATGAATTTTGGGAATTTTGATGCAAAGTGTTGCGCTTACAATTTGTTTATGATGCCAATATTTTGTGATTATGTCTCGTTAACTCATCTATTTTATTAAAGACATTATTATAGTGCATACATAATGTTTGTTATGTTTTAGGAATACTTGTTCGTGGTTGGTTAACCCTAGTCGCCTTTTTAATTTCCCTGAGAGCTGCTCAATCAAGGGCATCAACATTCATGATCAATTTTAGTCTGATTCTTACTGTGTTTTCTATCTTAAAGTTTATTTCACAGGTTAAAGCTACTATCTGTCCCATGCTAGTCTGAATTAAACATTGCATTATTCCACAAGGCCTCAGTATGAGCAGACCATTTCCACAGTGTAGACTGAGGCGAGTGAGGTTTCCACCACAGGTCTGAGGCTGTATTCTCCCTGTCTTTAATGTGGCTTCTCTGTGGATCAAACACACTTATATGAACCATCAGTTGTCAGGTTCCGCTCTGCAGCTTCTTGTTTCTGGCTGGACACCAGCCTGACTTACCTGTGTGAAGCTCGGAGCTGCCACCTGCTGTTTGCAATGGGAACAGGTAAAGGCCTCCGAGCCTCCTGTCTGCAGATGCGACAGATGAGGGCTCGGATCTCAAAACACGAGGGTCCTGTTGAAAGTCAGACACCTCCACCCACCAACCGGAGGTCTCCCTCTACTCTCGCTTCTTTTTTTATTTATAAAAAGGAGTGAACAAATAAGCATGAATTTTCTATTTATGAAAATATCCATTTTTGTTTATACACACTATTTGTGCCGCAAGTGCAATGTACCGTGGGCCACATGTTCAGTTTTTCTTGGTGCACAGTGAGGGTATGAAATTTCAACAAAAACTGGTAAATGAGATGTCTGGGAGAGACAGTCAGTGGTTGCAGGTTTTCACTTTTGAACATCTGTCAAGTTTTTGAGACGCTGCCTCTGGAGGAAATGATGTCATGTCTAACGACTGGAGTCTTCAGTAAATTGTTATGTTTTCCAGATCTGGATTGTCTGAGTCTTTGTGCAGGATATTACTCTCTGAAATGCACGGTGCATTCAGAATATACATGTTGTTTGGTTGTATACAGCATTATATTTATGTTGCTGCAGTGTTAACACACAGGATATATAGTAACTCAGTGACTGGTCCCCTTCATGCAGCTGCTCGGAGGAGGATTAAAAAGTTTAATTTCCAGAGGCTGTTGGGACATGTTAGTGCAGGTCTCAGCCCCCATAGCCCCAAACAGAAAGCAGGGCTGATAGGAGCAGGCTGGATGATAGTTTAGTCTTTGTTTGCCTTTTTAAAGGATTCAGAAACATGTGGTTTCTTCTTTGTGATGCTGTATCTGCATGTGGACACTTGGACTGAAGGTACATTTCGTCATGTCTCAGTTTATGTCCTGGTTTATTGGTTTAAGCCTTCAAAGGATCATGATTGAGAACAGGTTTTCTTGGCAAACCCTTTTGTGGAGTTTAGAATCCCAATGAAGTAGTTTTACTCTTTTTTTTTTTCTTTTGCTTTTAATTCAACTGACATCTGATAAACTAAGTGTCCACCGTCTGTTCCAGGAGGTGACACGAGCTGCACGGCCGACGGCCAGGTGTACACAAACAGGGACATCTGGAAGCCCGAGCCATGCCGGATCTGTGTGTGTGACAACGGCCTGGTCCTGTGCGATGAAATCCAGTGCGATGAACTGACTAACTGTGAGAAGCTGGTCATCCCGGATGGCGAGTGCTGCCCTGTGTGTCAGACCGACTCATCCAGCACCGGAGGAACCACCACTTTGGGTGGGTGAGCAGCCGCCCTCGGTGGTTATTTGTCACCTGTAGGAAATAAACATGTCTGTTCAAGGGTATGGATTTTAGTATTAGGGGGAGGTCACATTAATTTTCCTCACACACATAAACGTAAAGTTTAAAAACTTTCAAATAAGTAAAACAACATCCTGACCCTGACAGAAGCTTTGGTTTTGACAGGTTGTCAGTGACTGGATCCATTTATGTGTCAGAACCAATGAACAAATGTTGGCCATTATCAGGCCGCTGCACTCACACTCTCAGAATGAGTGACATCAGATCGATTGTGTTAATTGACTGGTTTGTCTTTGTTTACCTTGTCTGACCTGCATAATGATGGCAAATGACTCTCTCTATAACTGGGTCACTTTGCAGTCACGGTGTAGATGTGGCTGGATGAATGAATAATGAGATGTTGTATTTGCTTTTTCCTTCGCGCAGGCGGAGACCGGGTCTATAAGGTTGGTCACAGCTTCATAACTTTGGATATTTCTGCTTTTTAACACTTAAGTTTGAAAGGTATCTTTATTCCTGTTCTCTTTCTGTGTATTCAGGGTCAGAAGGGTGAACCAGGGGATGTCCCACTTGTGAGTGTTTGCTAAATCTAAACCTTTTACACAGGCTTCTAATCAATCTCCTAAACACGCTCAATCTAGAAGCAGGATCTAACCATTTTTTTTCTTTTATTTATCCCTGCAGGTCACTGGTATCAGAGGCCGCCCTGGAGCTATGGTGAGACTATATATTCTATAGTTTCAGGATATATCTGTTTGTTGAAAATGTCCCCCAGTTTGCGAGTGAATGCTCAACTACCTGAATTGACACTAGATGGCATGAGAGGACGGTTACCTCGTCCAAAACTTCACTTTAAAAGGACGTCTACACAGTCTGCACGGTGCTACAGTCGCCAAAGTGACTTTAAAACCTGCACCTACAGCGATGATGACGTTGTTGTGATGTAATCGCTTTGTCTTTTTGTTGATTTACAACAGGGACCTCCCGGCTCTCCAGGAGACAGAGGACCACGTGGAAACAAAGGAAGGCCTGTATGTCACAGTCACTATTGTCCACAGAAAAAAAGCACAACATATAGTGCCAGATAAAATATCTTTCAAATTTAATTTGGGCTTTTTTCCAAAGGGATATATTACAGTACAACATATACTATAATAGAATATAATAGTATGCAATGAAACATATTTGAACATAATCAAATTGAATATACAATGTAATATAATATAACAAATGCCATGTGAGTCTTGCGTTTCACAGTCCTTTGTCTGTGTAGTTCATTTTGTTTTCTATTGCCTCTCTCAGTCTTGTCAATATGCAGACTGACATAATGACGATTATATATGACTAACAAACTAATGAAAAGGTTAAATAAAGTGTCCATCTGAGCCTCCCTTAATGCTCTTCAGTGTTTCACATGACATCTGCACTGTGATCACACTGAGGTCATGAGAATGACTCTGTTACTCTTCAATCTGTCAAAGTACCACAGTGGTCAAACTGAAAATAAATACACTGCTGTGTTAAAAAACGTTTTTTCAGCTCAAGGGCAAGAGACTAAGAGTCAGAATGTAATGTAATGTGGAAAGTTGATGTATAATGTGCTTACCAAGCAAAAGTGTAGCAGGGTGATGAATGAATAGGCCCCTCTGGAGGTGCAATCCAGTTGAGGGCAGCATTTTAAGTTGATTTATTAGTACATAACCAATGGTTTTCTTCCTGCACAGCCACAGAAATTAATCTGCATCATTTGTATCAAACTAGATCCACTCTACATCGCAACCAAAAGCAAAGTATCCTAGCAACGCCGATTGATTCATCAAATCAATTTCAATTTAAGAATAAAAATATTAATGAATACAGAAAAAAGTTATTTTTCATAGCCACTGAATAATAATGTTAAACTGAGCATGGTTGTAAAATAAAACAAGTGACTCAGCAGTAATTGTGTGTCTCTCTACTTCATAGGGCCTGCGGGGTCATGCAGGTTATGATGGAGAGCCTGGTGTGCCTGGTCAGCCTGGTGAAGCAGGACCTCCAGGGCCTCCATCGCACCCAGGGGTGAGCTGTGCAAGATGCACACACGTGTACATCTACAGCTCATGCATGTGCAAGCCAGCGCAGGGAGAGCCAACGCAGCACGAATGATCTCTCAGGATGTGTCGGCCATCAGAATTATTGTTCACACCATAGAATGATACATATGAAGTCTACACACATGATTAAATCCAATTATATGATGTCAGCACCCACCACTGTGCATGTTGGGATTTTAAATGTTATTTATGCAGAGAACTTTACCAAGACAGCTGACAGGTTAACATACAATACATACCTGGCAATATTAAAGCACCAGATGACATTAGTTTAATTTATTTAGCATATTTGTATTGTATATACTATAGACATGTTTTGATCACGTCATTAGCATCCCATTTACTCCCACTTGTCTCACTGGTAAATGGCAAATTCATTGTGATTAAATACAGCAAACCTAAGATAAAGTGTGTCTCCTCACCTGCAGGGTCTGGGATCCCAGATGGCCTCAGGGTTTGATGGGAAATCGGCACCCCAGGGCATGTTGACTGGCTCAAGGGTAAGAAGACGTCAGCATAATATGAGCCAGCCTCATCTGTCTGTGTTTTATAAGCTGCTTATTCCAAAAAAGGAGACTAAAGCATCTGCAAAAACTAGCCTTGATTCTGTGTCTGTAGCAGAGAACAGTGACAGACTGGTAATTAAGAACAGCCCAATGGTGCAGTGTCACATTTGTGCACTGGCAGCCAGTACCTATTTAAATCCGTTTTAAGGCTCTAAGGAGAGGGGGTTCAATATTTTTTTTTATATTGTAAAAATTTTACAATCTAAAAATTTATTTTTTGTTTATTAAAAGTTTTGAATTTAATTTAATTTTTACTGTCAGAATCAAAAGTGTAAGACAAACAATTAGAGAACCACATTCTATGTTAGCTCCGCTGTTTAAGTAAACATGACTTCTGCTCGCATCAAGTCTGGATTGTCCCCACATTTCTTTTACTTGATCTAGACTTAAAACAGTCCCTGACGTAACCTAAGATAACCTGCTAATCAAGTTACTAAAGTCACTGGATCCTATATATCCCATGATGCATTTCAATGAACCATCCCTGTCCACTAAACCCATGCTCTTTCTGCAGGGTGCTTCCATCACCCCAGGTTGTTTCTATTATAAAATGATCGTCTGTAATAACACAATGGAGAGAGATAGCTCCAGAGCTGCATAAGACTTATCATACAACATTGTGGGAAACTTGTGAATAACACCTGAAGTGTTTCTGTCAATATTATGTTGTTTCTCCAGATGTAGCTTACTGCAGTACAACCTCTGGTTTACTTCTAAACTTATACAAACACATCCTCTTGGCTGATTTATCTAGTGCAGGAAGTGGTGAATGTTGTAAAACATCATCCTTGAAAACTTCAATCTGTATCTTAGGCCTCAAAATGCAACATGCTGAGCTATGGGAAATGTTATGGTGCGCAATAATTTAAGAGCATGGATTGATTGAACTCGAAATAATTTAAACTCACATCTTTGGAAGAACATGAATCATCTTTTTCGAGTTTTATAGTTTGTCAGCTACTGATTTCAGATAGAGATAATTGTATTCAAGTTATCCAAATGTTTCTGTGTTGACATAAAACAAATTATCATTAACAGTTTTACAATTTTGTCTCTCATTTAATATTATTCATAAAATGTTTTATCAGATTCAACCCATCTATCGACCGCTAATACACAACCACACTCAGACTTTAGATGTCAATCCATGTCACTGTTTAACTGAATCACTACGAAGTCAAGTAGATGGGAGTATATTTGTGTGTATATGTACATGTGCACACACGTTTATTTCCGTTGTGAGGATAAGGTTGAATTCTGTCCATTGTTTGATTTGGCATCATGTTGGTTTTAGGGAGAAGCCGGAGCGAGAGGACCTCCTGGACCAAATGGCTCGCCTGTAAGTCCATAAAATCTTCAACACATTTAGACTGACACTGCACTGATAATAATAATAATACTTCTGTGCTGATTTGCTCCTTGTTTATATTTAAATGTTTTATTGTTTCTCTCCCTCTTGTAGGGTCAATCTGGACAACAGGGGCCTCCTGGAGATGTTGGAGATCCAGGACATATGGTACAACACAAATCTTCTATAAATTCATTGTGACTTGCATAATTTAAAGCATGCACGAGAGTGTTAGTAACTGTGTTGTTGTGTTTCAGGGTCCATCTGGTCAAAGGGGACCTGAGGGCCCTCCAGGGAAACCAGGTGAAGATGTAAGTAACACTGGGTTCTTAGTCTGTCATGACATGTGGGAAACTAAACCATCTTCCATCCTGTTTTAAACAAACCACAGCATTTCTAAAATAGCCATCAATTCTTGTAAAGTCAGAAAAATATTTCCCACAGTTTCAAAGACCTGCATTTATAATAGTTTAAAGAGGAGGACCCTGAAGCTGCTCGACAATTGGAGTCTACTAAATCCGAGTGTTGTCACAAACATGATCTGAGCTGTCAAAGTTTATTGGTGAAAACTGTGTATGAAAGGATTTGGTTTCCACAAGACGTCAGTAATTGTGGCTGTTTCCAAACAAAGAACAAGCAGAGGCAGATTACATTAAGAATAGTGTTCCTCTATCTGAGTAGAAGAGTCAGGACATGTGATTATTAACTGTTTAATCAAGAAGCAAAAACCCATCTGCAGTATAAAGCTCCAGTTCCACACATCCTGAATACCAAGTGCATTATTTGGTGAAAACACTCTTTGACTAACATTAAACCAGAGAGAATAAATCTGACGTGTGTTTCAGTGACATTCAATTCAATCTGTCCAACATCCTCACACAGGGAGAGGCTGGCAAATCAGGAAATCCTGGAGAAGTTGGATTCCCTGGATCAGCAGTAAGCTTCTCCACCACATGCATCACACAACTGCTTAAACTATATCACCACCGCAGAGAAGAAGTTGTAACTTCCTGTTTCTAGTCTATGAATGATCTCTTAGATATTACTGATGATGGTCTCCATGTCACACAATGTAGGGTGCTAGAGGATTTCCTGGTACTCCTGGTCCTCCTGGACTGAAGGGACACAGAGTGAGTACAAGTTGTCCTACAAATTTATGAACAATTTCTTATTTCTTATCAAACAAACCTTAAAGGTTTATGTACTTCATTTTGCTGGGCTTCCTCTACTCTGTTGCTCCTTTTAATAAAGGTCATTAAAGAATGTTGCTAAGCCCAGCTCTGCATTCTCATTAAACACAACAATGAAGTTGTTCTCCTTGTTTCCAGGGTCATGGTGGACCTCTTGGCCAAAAAGGTGAAACTGGAGCTCTTGGATCCAAGGTAACTGCTACATAAAGTCTGTCCCTTTGTTTGATGGGGTAATGATTGATTGCTGACTTAAACAATCTAAATGTTTTGTATCAGCACTGTAACCACACAAGTCTGTTGTCTCTGGTTTTTAGGGCGCCACAGGGCCCCCTGGTCCAATGGGAGGACCTGGACCCATGGTAAGTTATATTCTGAAAGTTGAAGTTTTTAAAGATGTCCAAAGAGCTGAATCTGTCAGGAAGTCTGACACTCATAGTTTGTCTGTGGCAGCCCATACTAATAATAACAGTTTACTATGAATGTGCGTGGACTAGAGCACTCTGTAGTTTACCGGATGCTCTTATCTCTAATGAGACAATCCAGAATACTGTACAGCAAACCCTCTGAACTAACTCACCATAAACATTAGCACTGAATGGAAGACAGCTGTAATTGATCACTGTGTTCGTGTGTGTGTCACAACAGGGTCCTGCTGGGATGCCAGGGGAGAGAGGGCGCTCTGGACCCAGCGGTATCGCTGTAAGGATTTAATCACTCAGAAGTATCAGTTTTATCAGTTATATCAGTGTTACAGCACCTTTTCTTTTTAATGCCCCTTGTTGTCCAGTATTGGCTATTTGTAAACCTTGTCCATCACAAGGTGACTGCTTAACATCAAGGTGATTTATGCATCCAAGTGAATCGTTTTTGTCTTTTAGGGCAAACGTGGGCCACCTGGTAATCTTGGAAAACCTGGTCCGATGGTAAGTCAGCATTCGCAATGTTGCAGATTGATGTAATGCTTAAATAAATAGCATGGCATCATAATGATCAGAATAAACACACATGTAGCTGTGCATCTAAGAGTCCACAGTGAATGCTAATATTTTGCTGATTTGCCAGATGCACTCTTCTACTGTCTTATCCCTGGACCACCAGTATGTTTGCAGACTTTTTGGTTCTTAATTAAACTCTGCTGTTTATTTACCAGGGACCCCTGGGTCTCAGTGGCCCCCCTGGATATCCAGGAACCCCAGGAATGAAGGCAAGTACAGAGGAAGCTCTCATCTTTATTTTACAAGATACACTCAGCCTAATGCTAATAGCCTCCTTTAATTATTGAACAATTAAGAGTGAATATTTGGTTCTCTGTATGTTGTATAACTTGTATGACTTATTGCTGAAAGCAAATATAAAGAGTGAAGCCAATATATTCAAAGCCAAACATTTAAATGGGATTTATGATTGTTTTCCAAAGGGACAACCTGGCCCCACAGGTGTCCGGGGTCCTGTGGGCCCACAGGGACAGAGAGGAGAGACAGGTCATCAGGGTAGAGCTGGACCAGTTGGCATGACGGTAAATTCCTTGCTTTACTTATACTGACACATCACATACATCAACATCATAAGGATGTTTTTAACAAGAAACTTTTTAGATCTGCTGTGATGGGAAACATCATCATAGCTAATGTCATCACTGCTCAGTGCTCTGAATTGATGGTCTAATTGGAGAACTTTTGTGCTCCAAGGGACCCATGGGTACAGATGGTGGCCCTGGTGCCAAAGGACCAGTGGTATGTAAAAGTTACTTAAATTACAGTGTGTATATATGTGATATGAATACATTGAGGTCACATGTAACATGACAGACTACTCTCCACAGGGTAATCTTGGTCCACAAGGTCCTGGCGGCCATTCTGGACCTCCTGGTCCACCAGGACCTCAGGGAAGCACCGGTCAGCCTGGTATCAAGGGACAACTGGTAATGTGGATTTTTCTTGAAAACTGTGAAAGTTCTGGTCACTGTAGTTTTTTTTAAATCCAAACTAAACATTTTTGAATGTCTGTGTTACAGGGAGATGTTGGTGTTGCAGGATTTAAAGGAGAAGCTGGACCCAAAGGAGAATCTGTAAGTTTCAAATATGTCTGCAGAAATGTCAAGATTTCTATTCTGCTATTTAAGACATTAAGAATAATTTGGATGAGTTAAATAAACAAGTAAAAGTCAGACTAGTTAACTTTTGACAACGACATGCACAATAAGGAAGTCTTGCTTCTTGGTTTAATGTGTTGTCTGGATTGTGTGTCAACTTTCTAGGGTCCACCAGGCTCCCAGGGTGTGATTGGACCTCAGGGTGAGGAAGGAAAGCGAGGACAACGTGGAGATCCTGGGTCTGTTGGCCCTTCTGGTCCTGTTGGTGAGAGGGTGAGTCAGCGTCTTGCCTCCTACTGTAACAGTCATCAGTGACAGAGCTGCACTTTGGGTCAGGGGTCATTGCAGTCATGAGTTATATTCAGAACAGTAATCCCTTTGAGGAAAAATCTGGCAGACAGTGAACAATATTAGTGTGTGACATTGGAAATGATACCAATTATGAAGGGAGTATATGGACTCATGGATTATGGCAAACATGTGTGTGTGTGTGTGTTTGTGTGTGTGTGTGTGTGTGTGTCCGTGTCCGTGTCCGTGTGTCCTTTCCACAGTCCAAGAATTAGACAAACTGCTTAGTCTGATTCTCCTATAGACGAGCGACCTTCCTCACACTTACCAGAAATAAAGATCGTGTAAATTATTAAATTCCCCAAAGGAGATTATTAAAGTTATTAAAGTATTTCTGATTCTGAAATGGTTTTCCATGATACATTTGCTCTTATGGATCTAGATGCAGCTTTTTTGCTTAGGGAACTTTATTAAGACAATGTGATCTTTACTCCAATGATCCTGTTAACTAGTAACTAGTTGTGACCACCTTTTTGTGTGACTTAGAGTCTAACTATATTTTGGTATGTAACTGGTTGACATGTTTCATAGGGAGCTCCTGGTAACAGAGGATTCCCCGGTGCTGATGGGCTCCCAGGACCTAAGGTGCAATACATTTTACACTTACTATTTCTATATATTGGTTTACTTCAGAATATATGCGTCAGTATAACAATTGCGGCAGTACTAACATCATTGTGGATTAATCATCTTTATATTTTTTCTAAAGGGTGCTCAAGGAGATCGAGGAACATCTGGACCCCCGGGACCCAAAGCTTCTGTAGGAGATCCTGGCCGTACAGGAGAACCTGGTCTACCAGGTGCAAGGGTAACACTGAAGCTTGACATTTTACCTTTGAGCTAGACCATCTGGTAATCCATCATTTCTGTCTGCACAACAAATATGCATTTTTTAAATCTTTTTTTCCAAAGGGTCTTACTGGCACCCCTGGAGTCCAAGGGGCAGAGGGCAAGCCAGGACCGCTGGTAGGTCACAGTGCTCAATAACAAATTCATTGGACATAGTGTAAAATGTCTTATAATAATTATAATCCCTCCAAGTTAGCTTGAAGGTGATGATAAATTCAGTGATGGTGAGCCGACAGTGATGTTTGCTTCTTCTTTAGGGAGCCTCAGGTGAGGATGGTCGTCCAGGCCCTGCAGGGTCCATTGGAAACAGAGGTCCAGCAGGAACTATGGGAGTTCCAGGCCCTAAGGGCTTCAATGTAAGGCTGCTGAGTCACTCAACACTTTACATTAACAGTCGGTCTGATCATTTACAGTATCGTCCTCATTCTGAAATGCGTTTTAATTTTGAAAGGGTGATCCAGGAAAGACAGGTGAACAAGGATCTGCTGGAGTGGCAGGTCAAAGAGTGAGTATTGTGCCACACCTTTACTCACATATGGACAATTATATATCTGTCAGTAGGGAGCAGATAACAAAAGGAAAACTGTTTATATGTGTATGCTGGTGACTGGTTCTGTCACTTGAACCGTCTTTGATAAATGTTTATTTATCACATTTATGTAATTTTTTATATCTTGGATGTGCAGTGGGCGGGTTTTCAACAGTCACTTGTTTTCAGGGTCCTCCAGGAAAAGATGGAGAAGTTGGTCCTGCTGGTCCCCCTGGTCCAGCTGTAAGTGTTTGCTTTCTCTATTTAATTTATTGTTTTTTTTATAACCCTGATTTTAAAAATAACTCTGACAATAATGTTTTTACTCACAGGGTGTTGCAGGAGAAAGAGGAGAGCAAGGACCTCCAGGTGTAAATGGATTCCAGGTATGTAATTGTATTTTGCTGGTGATGAAATATTAAAAAACTGCAAACATCACACTGTGCTGCAGACATGCTCTCATGGACATATTTAAGTGTTCTTTTGTGTTCTTTAGGGTCTGCCTGGAAACCAGGGCCCTCCTGGAGAATCTGGAAAACCAGGTGATCAAGTGAGTGTAACAGAAGCTTTCAATCCTGCTTTGGGCATTATCACATTCTTACTGCATCAAAACTTTAATGGTATTTAGTGTCCAAACCCATGTTAAGTCATTCAAAATGACATAAACAATAGTAATCATGAATGAGATGATACCAGTGTTTGTGATTTTCAGGGTATTCCTGGAGAGCTTGGGTCTGTGGGTCAAATTGGACCAAGGGTAAGTGACTTTCTTCAATCTGAGTTACTCTGAAATAGATAGTGACCCTGAACTGTCTGAGACTGATGATATTTTTTCTTCAGGGGGAGCGTGGAATTCCTGGTGAGAGAGGAGACCTGGGCCCGAATGGTCTGCAGGGAACTAAAGGAATCCCTGGTGCACCTGGTCCAGATGGACCAAAGGTACTATTGCAGTAGCATAACCATTAATGGATAAAAAACTAAACAAACAAAAACAAAACCTCAACCTTTGGTGTTTCTCACTGAAGGGAAGTCCTGGTCCTCCTGGTGCACTTGGTGATGTGGGTCCTCCAGGTCTTCAGGGGATGCCAGGAGAAAGAGGCATCTCTGGCCCTCCAGGACCCAAAGGGGACAGAGTCAGTTTCTCATCATGTTCTTCTCATATTAATTCATACTCAAATTTGTTTTATAGCATATACTCCAAATAACAGCACAAATGAACCTTGAATGTAAAATGTTTATTTTGCTGTCTGTATAGGGAGCAATTGGCGAGAAAGGATCAGAGGGTACACCTGGAAATGATGGAGCAAGAGTAAGGAACACATCTTTCACTCACATCTTTAACACACACAGTCGCTGCTAAACTAAAAAACACAGAAAATCAAAAAAATCTACAACTGAAGATGTATTAGTGCAAACCTGAGACTTGTCTCAGCTTGTTCAAAGAATCCTGTTTGCAGACGTGACAGCACAAGTTCCTAGTAACAGTGATGAGCCACATCACCCACCACATTTCTTGTCTGTCAACAGGGGGCCCCAGGTCCTGTCGGCCCAGTAGGATCTTCAGGACCCAGTGGGGAGAAGGTACAGTTTTCTTTTGTTTCTTGCACACATGAATAAGAGCTGCTAGTCACATCACAATGACTCAAGTTTATAGCTGCAGGAAGTGAAGTTGTTTTCAGCAAAGCGTCAGTTCCCAGGATGCCCACTAAGCTGTTCTTCCCTCTTATTTTATTGGCTGCATCTACCAGTTTGTGAAGTCATTTTTTTTATGAACAATAAAATGCTGGATTTTTGGAACGGCACAGACTCAACAAATTATCGTAGAAACTATTTTCATTAAAACCGTGACATCTCTGCAGGGAGAACCTGGACCCAAAGGACCAGCTGGACCACCAGGATCCAGAGGAGTGCCTGTGAGTTGACCTGTCCTGTGTGTTCAACTCGTACATAATCTGGTTTGGCCTCGTTTATTGTTCTGCAGTATATGTAAATAATATATATATACATCTCCTACCACAGGGAGCAAGAGGTGACCCTGGCCCAATTGGTGCTGTTGGTTTTGCTGGACCCCCTGTAAGTAGCTTAAAAATACTCATCAGGTAGTACACATTAGTTTATTCACTTTAATTTTTTTATTTAATCGATTTTTTTCCATCATTACCTACAATTTACAGGGTCCCGATGGTCAACCTGGAGTCAAGGGAGAGCCTGGAGAGCCAGGCCAGAAAGGAGATGCTGGATCACCAGGACCTCAAGGCTTATCTGGAGCTCACGGACCTCCTGTGAGTTGCAAATATAAAGACAATACATGGAGATTGCTGTCAGCTTATTGCTTTGAAAATATTTGTTTCAAGAACATGATATCCTAGACAGTGTCATCAGTCGTACATGTGTTTCGTCCAGTTTGTGTTGATGATTTCAATACATGCTGATAAGTGCTTCTCTAATCACGTGTTATCATTTCAGGGGCCAGTTGGTGTTGCTGGACTGAAGGGTGGAAGAGGAACACAGGGTGCACCAGTAAGACCAATTCATAATTACAGAGGAGTTATTAGACAGTGAATTTAGATGAGCATGAGCAAAGGAAGAGCATTACTCCAGATTGTTTATCTTTTTATATATATTCTTATTTTTGAAATATTGTCAAACAGAAGCTGTTGCTCTTTCTTATCAAAGCAGCATCTGAGCACCTTGTGTTATTTCTCTGCTCTCAGGGTCCCACTGGTTTCCCTGGATCTGCAGGAAGAGTCGGACCCCCAGGCCCAACTGTAAGTTCTCATTATCGCTGAAAACACATTCAATGACCCAGGTGGAAATATGTCATATATAAATAATAAAATGATTGTAATAGACTCCAGTAGCTGATATCAAATCTGAGTTTGATCAAACTGCACCAACTATTACTGAATATTTGTCCACATACTGCACTAAAAGTGCAAGTGATGTAAAACCTTGATGTCAGTAATATGTAGGATATGAAACAGAAAGCTCTTGTGGAAATTACTTATGACTCCACTCAATACAATAAGGACACACAGACAATGATGGGTTGAATTATAAACTATTAATTATAAACTGTATAACAGGAGACAGATGCCTTACAGGAGTCAACAACACCTGTCTCACAATAAAGAGATTGCAGAAGCAATAGACTAAATTGACCATTTGCTTAAAACGTGATAATATTGACCAATTGGAAAAAGCCTCATTGAAGTGCACACACTCTGATGCATGTCATGTTGCTCATATGATTCTGGTCAGTAAGAGAAGTGGGCCTCTTAACAACATCTGTGAGGCATTAGCATGAGGATTTTCTCATTCCTCAGTTACTCACATTCCAACACACACAGCTACAGACCGTTCTGTTAAAGCTCACAAAAATCGCAAGATGAACTGATAATGATAAGAAGATTTTAAAAAAAGTGATTCTTGAATCATTTAAAAGCAAACAAACAAAAACATAGTTCGTAACTGTAACTACTTTCAAGTATAGAGTTATCAGTGCTTATGTATTTGTGCTGAATTCAGTGTGACTGACTGAAACCACTCCCACCAGGGTCCACTTGGAGAACCCGGACCCCTTGGGCCTCCAGGAAAAGAAGGACCTCATGGTCTTCGTGGAGACCATGGACCCCCTGGAAGACAAGGAGAGCGAGGTCCATCGGGACCAACTGGTAGCCCAGGAGACAAAGGGGACTCTGGAGAGGACGGACCCACGGTAAACTCAATGAGAATTAGAATCTACGAATTGGAATATTGTGAGAAAAAACATCTCCTCAAACTAAGAGGATTTCAATTGATGAAACCCACATTTGTCTCTGTGCTGCACTAAAATTGTTGTAAAGTAAAAGGTCTATTTATTGATCGCAGCACACTGGTTTCATTTTAATTCCCTAATCATAACTGCAGGGTTTATTGATCGCTCCTAAACACGAATTCATTTTAGAAATTAGAATAGTACTCAGTGGAGTGAATTTCTCTGCCAGGCCAAACAGTCCTGCAAATGCCTAGCTCTCGCTCTTATCACATAGATTAGTAAACAAAAGAAAAAAGAGAGTTCTGCACCAAATTATACAAAGTAGGATCTCAAATTCATAATAATGTCTCATTATTTACATCTAGATCCTCATTGTTTCCTGTGAAATTGATGAGTATGGAAAATGTGCTCACTTCCTAATTTAAAAAGTGATAAATGACTTACAGTATGATGTGTACAAAAAGTTTTCTTTCCTGGTCCACGTCTTATCCCTTCATCATGTTTGGTCATCATTTTAATTTTATTGTCAAATAAACAAACAAACAAACAAACTAGAATGACACCCAGCTGTCCACTTATGAAACCACATTTAAATCCCCTATGTCCATATTTTTATTTGGATCTGCACCAGATTACTCAAACTCAATCGACTAATATCACTCCCCCAAAATAACCAGATGTTTTTCACCGAGATCCATGAATTATAGAAGTGGTGAGAAATAAAAAAAATCATAATGTAAAAGAAAGTTTAAAAAAAATCCACAAATGGTTTATGCCCTGATCTATAAAAATGTCATGGTAATCTGAATGGAGGTTTTTGTGTAATATTGCACTTAGGTCTGTGTTTAGTCTCAATATTCTGTGTGATGATCTTGTCTTCAGGGTCCTGATGGTCCTCCAGGCCCAGCTGGAACTACAGGGCAAAGAGGCATTGTGGGTCTCCCTGGTCAGAGAGGAGAGCGAGGGATGCCAGGCCTTCCAGGACCAGGGGTCTGTATCATTAATGTCCTGATTGTACTGCACACAAGCTTCTGTCTTCATGTCATTCACAGGAGTTAAACATGTATCGTTTTTCTGTTTACTGTGTGGTGGTGGGGGGGATTTAACTCCTTTAAGGGCTGCATCATGACGTCCCTGTTGGTTTTCTTAGGGTCCACCAGGGAAACAAGGCTCCACAGGATCATCTGGAGATAAAGGTCCCTCAGGTCCAGTTGGTGCTCCTGGTGCTAATGGACCTCGTGGTGATCCAGGCCCTGATGTAAGTATTAAATCTGTTTTGGTCACAAGTAAAAAGTGTTTTCCCTCATGTTGTCATATGTCTTATTGTGTTTCTGTGTGCTCTTCAGGGCCCTGCAGGATCTGATGGTCCACCAGGCAAGGATGGCGTTCTTGGACAAAGAGTAAGAGACAAGTAAAATTGTGCGCTACATGTTGTTTCATGTATTTTTGGTGAATAACGGTAGTTACTTCTCTAGGGAGGGCGAGGAGATTCTGGTCCAGAGGGTATGATTGGTCCTCAGGGACTTCCTGGCCCCCCAGGTCCTGTGGGTGCCCCGGGTGATGCTGGAAGACGAGGAGACGCTGTAAGTGGACGTTTTTCCACCTGTGTTTTTGTGAGCTTGTGTCTCTGCACATTAAGAGGAGAATAATAAAAGAGTAACACACATGAGCACATTCTTAATTCCAGCCCTGGAGGCATGTTGGATTGTGACTGGACTTAATATGAATTGATAGGAATGATTGTTGCGTTGGAGTTCCTCAGTGCTGGCAGAGCTCTGTGCTTCCTGAGGGTCTGATAATGATCCGACTCATTTGCAGGGCTCAAGAGGACCTCTTGGTCCACCTGGCTCTGCTGGAAAGAGAGGATTAGTGGTGAGTGTCCGATATCAAACTTGTAACATCTCGACATTATGTGAAATATGATTACACCAAAAGAGATGACATACTCTAGATGCTTTGTAGGTTATATTTTTTGTTCTGACTGATTTAGTTCAACAGTAACAGCTGATAGAACCAAAAGGAAAATGTCCCTGTTTCAAAGCAAATATCACATGTGTCAAATTATTCCAAATTCAGGGACCACAAGGACCAAGAGGAGATAAGGGTGACCTGGGTGATCATGGAGAGAGAGGACAGAAGGGACATCGAGGGTTCACTGGTCTGCAGGGTCTCCCTGGACCTCCGGTAAGTCAGAGAGATGCTCAGTAATGAGAGTCTGTTGTCAGGAGCTTTTACCGACTCACAGTGTTTCTGCATGGTTCAGTAAGATGGTTGATCTAAAGTCTCTTCCTCACTTCTCGTGCTCCCTGGGTCTGTTTTTTTTTTTTACACAAGAGCACCAACCCAGGAACAGGAACTGACTGATATCAGCCATGTCTCCTGCCAACACTGTAAAACAGAAAAAAATACTTTGTAATAAGTGTGAAAGCACTTTAGGGCCCCCTGCTGCACACTGTGTCATAAAGGTGCAGTAGTGTGTCATTTTAAGGAGCAGCCCAACAGTATCAAGTTCAATAGTTACAGAAAGGCCCAAGAGTGACAAATACTTTTTTAACTTATTTCAATAAGAATTTCTAAAGTATGTTAGATTGAAAACCACCCAGAGTTATTGTACATGGAAGATTTAATCATTAAAACACCAGGAAACTCAAATCTGCAGTATTCATTCTCTCTCTCAAAGTAGAAAGCAGTTGTTTGTCACATCTTCCCATAACCTGGTCTTTTGGTAGTAAAACTACATCTGAATAGTGGAAACAATATGCTTTGAGCTGAATAATTTAGAATAAAAACCTATAGATAGACCTGCTGTTTAACAGATTATGTTGTATTTATAGCAAAAAGAGATTAAAGAATATTTATTTCTTTAGGGTACGACAGGTGAGCAAGGAGCTCCAGGAATCGTTGGACCAAGCGGCACCAGGGTAAATGACATATTTTGTAATATTCTGAAAAAGGAAAAGGAATATTATCTTATATTAGTTTCACTCTGACATTCAATTTGGAATCAATATCCTGAATGCTGACAATTATTATCTGTAATGCGACTCAGGGGCCTCCTGGACCTGTTGGACCTCCTGGAAAGGAAGGATACCTGGGGCAGTCGGGGCCCATGGGACCTCCTGGAACTCGTGGAATCAGCGGAGAAATCGGACCAGAGGTATCGTCTCATTATGCAGTACACAGAGGAATGTAGTATGTATATGTACAGTATGTTGACTCAATGGAGCAGCAAACCTGCTGTCATTCAAAAACAGAAAGACTGAACATGCTTTAAACATGCTCAATAGAAACAAAAGTTTTGATAGACACAGAAGTGACACTGTTAATCCACAGGGCCCTCCAGGAGAGTCCGGACCCCCAGGTCCTCCCGGTCCCCCAGGACCTCCCACGGCTGCATTGGACGAACTCTTCGGCCCTCAGGATTATGACTCTGGCCCTCCTCCTCCTCCTGAGTTCAGCGAGGATGAGGCTCTGCCCAACAGCAACTCTTCAGGCAACGTGGTCGTGGACCCCAGCGTCCAGGCTACGCTGAAGGCCCTCAGCAGCCAGATCGACAACATGAAGAGCCCGGACGGCAGCAGGAAACATCCAGCCAGGACCTGCGACGACCTGAAGAGATGCTACCCCACTAAGAAGAGTGGTGAGTGACAGCAACCATCATGTTTACAGGACTTAAACATATTTGTCTCACACGGATTCTGTCAAGCATTACAGACCAGTTCTTGTTTGTCTGTTATGAACAGACACACATGATGAGAGGCAGGTCTCACAGGATGTGGAATATCCTATTTTTCTGTCCTTGTCCTCTGTTTATATGTTCTTGTGCAGTGTTTTTTCATCTCCATCTTCTTGGTGCTTCTTTTTCTTACATAATACATCTTGTCAAAGCAAAGCTATCATGTTATAACACCTCTTTATTTGACCACAGCAGCTGCAGAATAAATCAGTGCAGAGTCTCACCACCACCTGATTGTTATGTTATGTAGGTGAGTACTGGGTGGATCCAAACCAAGGCAGTGCAGAGGACGCCATCAAAGTGCACTGCAACATGGACACCGGAGAGACCTGCATCTCCGCCAACCCAGCCAGCATACCTCGTAAATCGTGGTGGAGCTCTTCCAGGAACAAGCCTGTGTGGTTCGGAGCCGACATCAACAGGGGAACACATGTAAGCTCTCGTATTCCTGATGGTGAAAGCAGTGATGTGAATGACGAACACACAGGAAAGTAGTTACTGACTTCATTATTGTATTTGTTTCTCTAGTTTACCTACGGCAACAAAGATCAGCCAGCAAACTCCGTCACTGTTCAGATGACCTTCATCCGCCTCCTCTCCAAAGAAGCATCCCAGACAGTCACCTACCACTGCAAGAACTCTGTGGGCTACAAGGATGAGAAGACGGGCAACTTGAAGAAAGCCGTAATCCTCAAAGGCTCCAACGACCTGGAGCTCAAAGCCGAGGGAAACAACCGCTTCAGATACACAGTGGTGCAGGACTCCTGCTCTGTAAGTTCCCACTCACGACTTCTCTTACACTCCTTCATTATTCAATGTATCATCTGTAGTGATAGCCAGCCATATTTTATGATCCTCTTATTTTCAACTAAGAGATAGCAGATTCTACATAAAGCTTCCATTATCAATATTTTTATACAATTAAATTATATTAATAAATGTGCTGTTAAAGCGGCCACGCATAGAAATGATCACCCGACTCTTCCTCTTCAGTTCCTTGAAGCACGTCAGTATCTTTCAGCTCATTGTTTCAGAAACCCTGACTCTCCTAGTTTAGTCCATAGACAGTGTAAAAGTGAAGCCAAAACCTCATGATTGCCATCTGGTGGCTGACTGCAGTATAGGTCACAAATCTCACCTCCTCCAAATGTCAAAGTACACGTCAAATAATATTTTGGCTCAAAAATGGCCTCTTATCACACCCAAGTTTGTCGAAGCATTCATTTTTCCGTCAGGTGTGCATTTTATTAAATTATTTTATGATAAAGAAATGGGGTGAAACATTATGATGGACAGCTGAGACTGACATTTGGACCTTAATAATGAATTCCATCCCCCAACTGCTACTGAACACACTCTGGTTCCAAATGACACCGTCAATGAAAGATGGTTCCCTTCATATCTGGGATACTTGGACTTGATTTCTGGATTGTGGGAAGGAGTAGAAATATGCGTCCATCTTTAGAAAAATCATCATTGAGGAACCAGATGTTTTCCTCTGAAGTTAGTGATCAAAACAGAGCTGAAAGAAGAATCAATGTTAAATATTGATGCTAACACATTAGCTATGACAAATTCAAATTACAATATGTTTGTGTTGAGTTTACAGTTTGTTGTGCTACTGAGTGGTCAAGAAAATTATTGATTCAGGCATACCGTGAACATTGCATTTTATAAAAAGATAATGCAACATGTTTGTTGAGGTGTACTAAAGAAAGACGCTTACCAAGTTTCTGTTTGTCTTCTTTCCACAGCAAGCGAATGGCAACTGGGGCAAGACCGTGTTTGAGTACAGGACACAGAAAACAGCAAGACTTCCTATTGTGGATCTTGCCCCTGTGGACATTGGTGGCCCAGATCAAGAGTTCGGCATCGATATCGGGCCCGTGTGCTTCTTGTAAGAACGATAGCTGGGAGGCGTCGAGGACAATCCTGAGACTATTGAACTGACAGCTGACGCGATCAGCCACGTTGTACATACAAGTACTGAGAACTACTCTGGCCCTGCGGCAAGATATTTATTGTGCCTTTTCGACCCAGTTCAAGACATCGACGATTTGTAAGTTAGAAGAATGTTTGGAATTTACATAAATTTTTTGGGTACAAATCGGTATCATTCCTCTGTCTTCTTGCGTATGTTTGACTTCAAGCTTTGTGCATTTTGAGGGTCACTGTGGTCTCGTTTGGTCCAAAGATCTTTACACCATCATTTTAATTTACAAATCCACTTTGCCAAAGATTCATGAATATAGAAGCTTTAACATATTATTGGTAACTGCTGTTTACAATCCCAGAAAAAACCCAGCTGGAGTTAAGTCAAATGTCACTCCCGACAAAAATTTTTATTAAGTTTTTATTTCTCAATGTTTTCATTGTCTGAATATTGAAACAAGATTGTGGTGCTATTGAGGAAACAAATACAGCTGAGGACAAGTTCACCAGCTCCGGTATTTTCTCAAGACAGTTTTGATGGAGCCGTGTCTGTATCCAGTTGTTTTAAACTCTGTACCGATCACGTAGAAACATTAGAGACACATTAAGACTGTCGATTCCTCAGTGTTAGCTACCTCGTCACCGAAACTGAGAAAACGATGACACTATGTGTATTATAATTTTTTCTTTTGATTTTCACCGGTGCTGTTTTGTAAGTAGTGTGATCTTTGTGCACTTCTCCCGGCTACGCGGTACAGGGCAGGGTTTGGGGATGCCAATAAAGACCTTTCTGTCGAAGATGGAGAGATGAATGAGGTGTCGTGTGACTGGTGTGTGGTCATTTGTGACACGTTTCTTTCCCTAAAACTTTTTATCAGTATAAGGTAGCACAGAATATTCTATTTTTATGCATGTCGGTTCCCCCTTTGCAGTATCCTGGACTTATATGCTCTTTTTTTATAATCACTTTTATAGAATAAGGTGGCTGTGTGTGCCTGTTTGCTTTGTATTTCTTGCTATGCAACAAATTAAACACAATGCTTGTAAATCCCCCCAAGCTCTTGTCATATTACTTCAGGTACAGTTAGGTCCTTCAACTTTGTTATTTTGCACACAGACTCACAGATTTTTGTTGTGTAAAAAAGCAAATGTATTTGACAAAGTCAAACAGTTGTTTCTAATGTTAAAGCGCTTTGTTTTCAAATTTCCGTGAATGTGCCTTCAAGTAATTCCATTGTGACCGTTTGGCTCATGTTTAATAATATTTATTATAGATTTGTGACACTTCACCAGGCTCGACTGCCTGCTAGCGCCCGAGAGGCAGAGCACACGAGGGGGAGGAAGAGGAGGGAGACTTCCACACATGCAGATGCGTTTCATCCTTTGGAAAATAAATATTGAAAATAATTTCTCTCTGCCTGTTCTTGTTTGAGGAGGAGTTTATCTGGTCCTTTAAATAAAACTTGCCATCAGAGAATAGCCTCGGCCTCAGGAGGGTTTGAAAACAAACTCTCCGAAGCCAAAGTGAACTTGTATTGAGCTTGAATAAAATCTGAAGAGTCAACTGCAGCGAGCTAAATGCTGATGAAGGCATGCTAACGAATGTTTAAGGTTTTATTTCCTTGCTCACCACCGTACTGTAGTATGTTAGATTGCTAACCTAATCCTAATCCCAATCTGCTTGTTTGGACCGTGGGAGAAAGCTGGAGTACCCACACAGACACGAGGAAAAGCTCCACACAGAAAGACTCCAGTTTAACCAGGATTCAAACCGAGATACCTTGTCCTGTGAGACGACAGTGCTAATCACTGCACCACCGTGCCACCACTGCTACAGTAGTCCAAAGACAAAAATTCTTTCAACCAGACAAAATAATCAATGAGTAATTTCTTTTCAGTAAGATTTTCTTTAATGAGTTTAACAGCAAAGTCAATGCAACCAAAAGTAAAATAATGGGACTAGTACTGCGTGAATGGACAGTCTGTCCAGAAAAGTGCCTTCTGGTTCAAGAAGAGAGGAGGGTCAAAATGATGATGCGTAAATATGGAACTGCCAACTCATACTTTTAAAAAACAAACAAAAAAAACAGCAACAACAAAAATATCCTCAAATCAAAAGGTGGAATTGTAAGTAAGCAACATACATGTACATATCTCAACTGGATTAATGAGCTACATAATGTGTGACTTCATGTTGAGTAAAATAAGCTACAGTATGTGATGTTATGGGCAAGATGAAGGTGTTAAAGATACAGGTTCCATTTATTTAATTCTTGCCAGCTTGTGTTCGGCGTACAAACAGGAATGTGTCAACAATACACAATTCAAATGGTGCATACACACAAAATGGTCTCATATGAAAATCCTGCCACGGAGCGTACCATTCAACATATCCCACTATTTACATCTCTCATTGCCTGTGCAATCAAAGGTACTCAAAACGACTCCTTCCATTTTATTCTTTATACAAAAATAGTTCTTTTCTATAATGGATCTAAGTTCACCTTGATATATCGAAAAAACCAATCTAAATGCAAATGCATATAAACCTCAAGATGAAAAGTGTGACATCTTGACTCAGCTGTGGAGTGGATTTTGGCACTTCTTCATACAAACGAGTTAAAAGTACGTGGCGAGGAGCGTCTTCTTGGCATCAGCAGCGGCTGTCGAGCGGGTCCAGGGAGAAGACGGTGCCCTCTAAGGTTAGTCCCATTTTGAACCCCTCCTGGAAGACAAGTCAGGAAACAGCTGTGACACGTGGCGGGCGCCAACACTGACGTGAGGTAACATGTCGCTGATCAACACGGACAAATGTGAGTGGAAAAAAAGGGTCTATAAGCTCTGAGGTTAAGAGAAGAAGGAAAAGTTCAACATGCACTTTACTCAAGATCATAAACTCGAGCGCAAGGACAACAGCAAAACAAAAGCATGCTTTTATTAACACAATGAAAAGTTATGTAACAAATGCATCCGTCTCATTTTTACAATAAACGTGCTCGCTTACATTGGTTAGTAAAACACAGAGACAAAAGAAGCTCATCCCCTGCAGAGCAAGACAGGTCATGAATGACACAACCAAACATGCAATGTGCACATTAGAACATGCATGCAAAGACAGGAACACAACCAGAGTCACAGCACACACACAGAGCAAAGAGTACAAACCATCTCTGACGCTGCGAGTATAAAAGGACGAGAGAGATAAGAGATGAATTCAGATGTTAATAAAAGTTCAGGAGAGAAGGAAGGAAAAGTTTGCACCGAAAAGGAAACAAAATGGGAGTCAGAGCAACAACACCTCCTACTGGCAACACACAGCTAGAACTCAGCAGTTTGTGTTCAGTCGGCGAGTCTTTGCTAAGTGTCCCTTCTCCTCTGATGATGAATGAAAACAGCATCCAGCCTGAGACGACTTAAACAGACCAGTCAGGTTTAACCCACTTGTGTCAGAGAGGGAGAATTGAACATGATTTTTTAGTGGAGAAAAAAAAATGTTTGTCTTGTACATGAATCAAGATGAATCTATGAAGCTTTGTTAATGGAAACCACTCCTTCTGTGTTTGATGTGACTCCATGAATCAGATGATCAAACTCAAGTCCCTTTGCAACATTTCTCCACGTTCTCTTGCGATGGTTGCGTCGCCCCAAAGCTTGACCACAGAGCCGCAGCATTAGCAGCACAGACTATAATATAAATATGGACGACGCAACTATACCTCCAGCTCCCACTATCCAGAAATGAAGCCAAAATATCCTGGATATGAATGCTGCCATCTTCACCAGGAGGTGATCGATGTGCTTTGGCTTCAGTTTCGGGGAGCAGTCATATCTGTCGCCTCCAACGGAAACAATGCAACATGGTCGAGCCCTTTGCAGAAACACTGTGCCTGGTTTTAAATTATATAACCTCCAGGCAGCAGGGGGGGTGAGGGAGCTACTGCTGTGTCTGATGAGCCACGTTATTTCTGAAGAATGAATCCAATATCAAACTCAGCTGTTTCAATTACTGATCCATCGGACCACAGACACGTCAAAATGTCCCTCGGTGACATTGAAGGGAACAGAACAGAGTGATATGAAGTTTTAATAAATGCTCCAAAATGCTCAGCTGAGGCATCGCCCGTGGGACGGAGGCTTCGTTCTTATAAACAAGAGGAAGACAGTGACAATAAGAGAAGACAGGAGACCCTCACCTGCATCTCATCCAGCTTCGACTGAATGTCTGGAGGGAAGTCGGCCGACCCGCAGGTGAACGGATCGAAAGGCTCTGAACCAAACAAGTCCTTCCCTGCAAACACACACAGCACACACATATGGCACAGACTGGAGAGGAAACATGTCTTCAATAGGTACTGATTTCATATTTTCTTTGTATCATGCGACAGATACTCTTGAAACTGATCAAAACATGTCAGAGAGTTATCACTCACTTATATCTGGTGGCAATGTGGTCGGCGGTGGTGGCGGACAGCCGTTACTGGCCACTGTGGGCACCAGCGGTGTCACAGGGGAGAAGGGAACCATGTCGAAAACGTCTGTGGACTGGGGTTTCATGGAGATACTGCCTGCCTGTGTTGGAGGAGGAATGGTGAAGGCGAGATCTTACTTGTATGGAAAATGCACAAACTACAAAGATATAGGAACAGCAGTAAATGCAAAAAAACAAGGAAGCAGACAGAGGTGAAAAATAATAAGGCTTCAGGGAAAGCAACAAAGCAGAGAGAAAGAGAAAGAGAAAGAGAAAGCGTAGGATGTTTACGCGAGGCCGCGGGATGCTGTATCCTTCAGCAGGCTTAGGAGGAAGAGGAGCAGGTTTGGCAGGCGGAGGAGTTAGTAGCCCGCTGGACAAGTTGGACTCTGGCGAGCTCATAGGAGTGAGTGTGACAGAGGAGATTTCCAGACAGGACAGCGACTTGATGCTGTGACACCAGAAGAGAGACGAGGGCCTCTGCAGCATGTACGCTTCATTGGAGGCGTTAATGTGCAGCGGCTGGGAGAAAAAAAAGGTCGAAGAAAGAACACGAGCAGAGAGGGACAATATTATTCAGTGTGCGTGACTGCGCTCGCAGGAGGTTGTCACAAGTGCTGGTGTTTGAGCCGGTGAGGTTGTGGATGCGTCACATTCCTCATCAGACCAATCAGGTGTGAGATTACTTTGCCTCAGACTCGGCTCAGACCCCTGCAGAGTCCCTCCGGGTGGGGTTGGTCATTTCAAACTTGAGCCTGAGGCGGAGCTTCTAATCAAAGGAGCACTATCAGCACAACCAGCTGTCCCCTAAAATACTTTGGAAACTTGCATAGTCACATTTTGTTAACTTTCATAATTAAAGTCGGTCGTGTATGTTTAGCCGATGGGAAACATTTAAAATAAATTGGCAGTTAGATTAGAGGCAAAGCTGTAGTTTACATTACAGACTGTGGAACAATGGACACGAGCCACTGTGCTGATTAAGGTGTCTAATGTTAGCTGATGTTAGCCAAGTCGGTGCCTTTATGACTCTACTTATGCTACAGTTGGCTCACACTTTAGCATATACAGTACCACCCTCCCTCTATTTTCACATATGGCAATATCTGCTCAAAAAAGTGACCTGGGCTCGTTCCAACATTTAAGAACCACATTTTGTTCAGTGTCAAACTGAAGAGGTTGTTGTTGTCTCCTCACCGGTGGAGCATGAGTGATCATCAGCTGCTCCTCAAGATCTTGAAGCTGTTTCTTTAGCTCAGAGTTTTCCGTTTCCAGTTCTTGAATCTAAAAATCAGACATCGACACATCTTATTTAACTGAGGTTTTTTCAGAGTTTCTCATCAAGTCGTACACAGGTGGAAAATATTGATCAACTCTTTTCACCTGTGAAAACCCAAACACGAATAAGCGAAATCACATCATTCTTCATTTTTCTGATAAACTACATTTGAGTATTCATGGCTTTCACTCCACAATATTTAATTTGATAATGTGAAATGATTATACATATTGTGAATTGCAGCAGACATCTGCTATTGATTGAATTAAATAGAGAAAAAAAATCTGCTGTGTACATAGATGCTACAAAAATCCTGAGATGAAGACGGTTGGAATAAACAGTCTGACAGTAGAAATATGAATACACAATATTCATCATCATCATATCATCTAAATGTTTGTATCAAACTTTAAACATCATATTTGTAAGTGCTTGTCTATTTTGCTGGAAGTCCTAAAACTGCTATTGATAACTGATGTTTTCTCTGTGTTGATAACTGGGTTTTATTTAAAGATATATATTTTTTGCAAGATGAAGAAGGATCTTTTTGCCTTATTTCTTTGTTTTCTTTGTGTAGATTCAGCAGTGAAGCTCTGATGAATGTTCAGTAAAAGCTGAGTTCACAGTGTTGACATGGAGCGTAGCAAATAGCTAAACACATTTTAGAAACTATACTGCAAATGAACCTTTTAGTGCAGCTCACACTGTTTAAATACCACATCACTCATGCAGATTCATACAAATGTTTTACTAAACAACCGTTTAAATAAAAACCACTGCTAAGGCTGCAGTTTATCAGCAGGGTGCACATTACACTCTGACCCCCTATTATCAGAACATTAATATTCATTACTGGCACTTTCCAATCAACGCAGCGTGACTCTCCACACTGGATGATGATGACTGGATGATAAAACAATTAATATAAACAAGCTCTGTGTAAATTTATAAAGATATCGATGTGACAGCAATATGGTACGAGTCCATTAAAGTCTATGTGAGAGCAAACAAGCTGAGCTAACTGGATGTGAATGGATGTGAGACGTACTCTTTTTTGAAGGGTCCCAATCTGTTTCCTGGTTTCCACATCTTTGCCTCCAGACTCCAGGAACTTCTTGTAGGCCAAGTCAAAGGCCTGACCGATGGTTAGAGTTATCTCTTCTGCCTGCAGCAGCAAAGGAACACAGACTGTGAGGATTTCACTGAAAAAAACAAATATATGCAAGGATTCTACAATCTGTTGTTAAAAAGACAAGGAAACACTTACACACTTTTCACTGTCAAACACGTAGCAGAGGTGTTTGTTGGACTCAGAGTCTTTGCAGATAAAAGTAAATATTCTTTTATCAGTTTTGTCGTCTGCACAGAAGGATATCCTGTGTAACTGACAGTTATGCTGCACATCCTGGAAAAACAGAAGCAATATGTTTATTATTGACCCGTTTCAAAGCATCAGTGCACCAATCAAGCACCGTCATTGAAATCCTGGACTCACTTTTGTCTTGGGATCTAGTATTTTCACGCCATAAATGGAAATCTGCAATTCGACTTTGGGAGTCTTCTGTCCCTCTGACTTCTTGATGTGCCTCTGAAACTGCAAAATGGGGAAAAAACTCATAAGCTCACACTATTAATGCAGCAGTGTTCATAAGGAACAAATATCACATGCTTATCACATTTAATACTACAACTTTAAGTCTCATTAAAAAAGAAAAAGTATAAACCCTTTTCACACCTTTAAAGCTGTTTGATTACACTTTCTGCCACTGGGGGGGGAAACAGAACAAGCTGAAACCACAACAACACATCAAACAGTTGTTATGATCATCGTGCTATAGCAACCAATTGCTTATTTACACATTTGGCACACACAGGAAAGAATCACCATTGATCCTGAGTCTAGTTTCTGGACAAGGGGCCGAGGAGTCACTGACATTTTAGCTCAGTTTGAGTCACTACCAACTGCTGAATGCTCCACTGTGTTTATAAGCTGCTGGTTTTATTTGTCTGTTAGCTGCGTGGTGCTGGGTAGGTAGTAGAAAGAGTTGAACAGTTGAAAATAATGGCTCACAAGCATGGGGAGACCGTGACACCAAAAAAACTTACAGGATGACAAGGACGGGAACAGAAAACAGCTGCTGCATGTTAAATAGTTAAATGGTGATGAAACAGTGTTTAGGATAATTTAATCATCAAGGTGAAGTGTTTTATAGAAGTCGCCAGAAGAAATCCATCTAATGGGTCACTCTTTTAAGCACATTTTAAGTCTTTCACAGTTTTGTTGCCAAATGGTTTAAATGCCAACTGCAGTTGGCAGAGTTTTCAGCTCGATAACCAATGAAATTGTCTGTTAAAAGGGGAGTGAAAACTCTCTCTTGAGCAGAAACTGCATCATTAGTAAGCAAATTTACAGCAAGCCGATAACAGCTAACGATTATTTAGGATTTTATCATATACATGCAGACAAATCTTCATGAAGCCATAGACCATCAAACCTGTGGCTCACACTTTACCCAAGTTCTTTATTCAGTTTGTGAAGGGACAAAGTGTGTTTATGAAAGCGTGTGCCAAAAAGATAATGCAGGAGTTTAACAGTCTGTACTCTAACACTTTGGCTTAAGGTGAGATGATGTATTCAGCTGCAATCAAGTCCTTGTGCAACCTTGAGTTCAGCCTCAATGATTGAGGACATTTACTCTTTTTGGCCTGCAGATGTAAACATGAACAGAACCGCAGAGAAAACATGTTTTACAACCAGATTCATCTTGAGCAACGACACATGTTATAACTTTCAAGGCTGTCTCTCAAATCGTATTTTTCTAACACATTTTTTCCTCCACATGAACTTTGGAAATATAACTGAGCTCGTCCAGATTCAGAGTTTATCTGGGCAGAGTAACCTTGGTTTCCAAACAGGCTTTCAGGATCAAATGTAATGTAACAATAGAGGTGTGGGTTTGGGAAAACAAGCCTCCCCTACAAGTGGCCTCACAGATTCTACACTTGGCAGGAGGAGACAGAGGGGAGACCAGCAGGCAGCGAGCACAGCCACATTACAGAGAGACGCCTGAGTCGCAGCAGTTACCATGCTTACAAGCTAACAGTGTTAGTTTTACCCATATAAATCTTACTGATGTTGAGTGGTCTGTGTCCTGAAAGGAATTCGGGCTGAGTTTCATGAAATCGGGTTCTAATTACATCGGTAAATGACGAATGAGAATTTTGTCAGTAGAGTCAAAATGATAAACTGAGCAGTTTCTTGGGGATTTTCTTGATTTGTGGTAACACAGACACTCAGTTGAGGAATGTTCTGTCCTAGTGAAAGTAAACTAACATTGATGATCAGTAAAACAAAAGGGTCATGCCCCCATTCAATAAGTTTCTGCTGGAATAATGAATATTTTTAAACCAACACTCAATTATTTAATATGTGTAATGAAATGACTTGAAATGACAAACCATAGATTGTATGTAAAGATGTTCCACATGAAAGCTTCTCTGTGTTATTGGATGGGATATGGACCAAACTGAATAGTCAAAGTACAAATGAGATACAGTTCTTATCAGACAGATTTTTGTTTGTATCATGTTCCTATTAAGTTTCCTTTTAATTAGTTATTGATGCTATAAAAACTGAGTGCAACTTCATGACTGACAGATGAGACTGACTTGTGATTGGTCTTGTGTCAGAGGCTCCACGCCATGATCACAATTACATAGATTCGAAATGACTTTAAAAGAGACATGTCTGTAATGTCCTTTCTACGTGTCTTTAGTACCTTTCAGCTTATTGTTTTGGTTTTAGAGCCTGCAGCTTTGATTCAATTCAATTTAACATGTAGCATCTGATCAGATCACAGAGTTTATGAGGAACTACTAGTGACACTGACTTCTGACCGTGTTAAGTACCTGCACTGACATGATTTATTAAAAACCAGTCAGTGATTGTATCAAGAGAATGTTAAAGATTTATGTTCAGGATATTTTAACAATAGGTTTTAATGGCAGATACATTTCTCTTTTATCAAATGTCATTTATACCTGAGGAGTGTTTACATAGCTAAGTGCTGTGCTTATCGAGTCGTGAAAAGCATCCCCACTAGGGAGCTGAAAAACTCCAAGGGCACCTTGATGGTTTGAGGGAGGGGAGCATTTGTCACTCACTTCCCCACCCACCCTCTCTGGTCTGAGTCTCCTGTCCAATCCGCTCACTGAAAAACAATCTGTGCTTTGGGCTACAGTTTATCCAGAGGACAGACTTTACCTTAAGCTTTCTGACCGCATCCTTTACAACTTCTGTGCCTTTTGGGGCTTCAACCTCTGTGTTTCCAAGGAACTAGAAAAGAGAGGAGAGAGTTGCAACATTTGAGAGATGACAGTAGAGCAACAAAAGTAGGAAAGAATGAAAACAAAGAAAGGTGAGGAAAAAATGCACTGTGGAAAAGTATTTTAAGTCCTTGACCTGTAGCGGAGCAAATATTTATATTATCATAACACACACACACACACACACACACACACACACACACACACACACAGCGTGCTTCAGTGCCTCCTGAGCTTAATGTGCGGAGCCTGTTCCAATATCAGACTTCATAAACACTGGTGTCGGCCCCTCAAAGGTTGAGGAAAACAAAATAACAATGTCTCCCAGCGGAACAGAGCAAACAAGCGCAGACAGACATGGATTGTCTTTACAGCGAAAGAAAATCTGTGTGAAGCTTTCCATGACTTGGCTCTGCTAATGTCCATTTAACTCGTGCCGACTGCTGTCCTTATGCTGCAGGTGGAATGATGCTGTAGTCCATATGTGGTTTATTTTGTCTTGGTGCTTCTATAAAACATTTTTATTTTTGTTATCTACAATTAATTGAATCAGTTATTCACAGTTATTTTGCTGATGCCTGACAGCAATACAAAAAGGAATTAAGCTTCCAAATTATGTAACTAATTAAACTGCAGTATTTGTTCTGTGTCTCCATAGAGCCTTCAATTTCTTTTTCTACATTTCTAAATCCAGTGAGACAGCACCACAGTGTCACCTATCAATGCAGCCAGAAAACAGATTGTAGCTTTATACAAAAAGTGTCAGCACTCACACACACTCCTGTATGACAAATGTACTCCACACAGACCTAAGAACATTGTGAGAGCTCCGATGACAGATGCCCAGAATAGAGTGGAGAAGAAGTTGTTTTTGACCAGTGCATTCTGGGGTGCGGCTGGGGAGGTTTCACAAGGGAGGCCAAGCTCGGAGGCTCATCCATCAACCGGTGCACGTGGCGGAAAAACGAAACCCACCCTGCCCCCCTCCTTCCCTATGGTGAGATTTCACACCTCAGCTGTGCAATCTCAAATAACAATATTCGAGAAAATATCCCCAGACAAAACCCAGATGTCATATGTTCACTGAGACCAACAAACATTTAAAAAGGACAGGATCTGTCATGTGCAGCCGAAGTGGGTTCTGGATGTGAAATGATTGTTGATGTCAGATCTCAATAGCTCAGATATTCACCTCTTGACATGTTCTTTCTTGATAACACTTGAGGATATCAGAGACTAACAGAGGTTGAGCCCAAAAAGCACCGACAGCATACAACAGTAAAACACATAAAGACGTCTCAGAAGTGGCAGAGCAGGGAAACAGACGAGAGGTAGAGGTATGTGATAGTCCAAGTCACCGCATGAAAAAATAAAGTTAACAAAATTCTAATCAGGAAAATACCACAAGCACCGACACATTCTGAGATACGTCTTTCTTAGATGTGGAATTTCAGGACATTAAAGTGACATTGAAGTGGTGGTGGTGCTGCAGGGTTTATTGACATGTGGCTCCTTCAGTATCGATAAAGGACAAATATTTTGTTTGGCATTGATTAATTGAAAAATATCATCATTGCGCTTGTAGTTATCAGTAAAACACAGCAGTGAACCTGTGCATCTTTTCTTCCTCAAAAAGAAAGAAATGTTTCCCGTCCTTCAGCTCTTGATTAATTTTCATATTGAATTAATTTAGTTTGCAGTTCCATACGACCTTTCTTAATTAAAATGAATCAGTCCTTTCAAGGAAACATCTCTCCAATTCAACAGCTTCCATTAATTTCAACAACTGCATCTCTTTTTTTTCTCTATTATCAACTCAGAATTACATGTTTCTTTCCAGGAAACATCTATTGGAATTATTGAGAAAGGACAGACCTGTAAAACATTTAATCAGGGTGGGGGTGTCATGTGCTCCCCCTTTTCTCCCCCTCCTCCTTTCCCTCACTCGTTTTCTCTCTCTCAGGTGAACGTGATGACCATGATTACATGGTAGGTGATTTAAGGGAGACTGAAGAGCAGGAAACTTCTCTCCTTCAATGGAGATGCAGCAGCTGCCAGCAACATGGCACAATTTATTTTGTTTCTGTTTATTTCATTGAGTTGTGTGTCTGGTATTTCAGTTTTTGTTCTTAGTTAGTTCACTCAGATAGTCAGGGGGAAGTTTCTGGATCCGACAGCCCATTGCGTGGCTGGTCCAGGTCTTCTCATGTTGTGTTCTTTCCACAGTCCTGCAGCTTCATTTAATTACATTTTGCTGTTAAAACAAGTTTTCACTTGGTGTGTTACTTTGGTGTGGTTTCTTCCTTATGTGTTGAAGTCTCTGGGTTGAGCAAAGTGAAATTTTGAGATTGGGGCTGTCACATACTTTGCTCTTCAATTTATTAATCGTCTTTTCTTGAGCACAAATGTCAATCACTCCATTCTGGTTGCAGCTTCTTTGGTGTGAGGATTTCTTGAAGTTCTGAGAGTAGATCGACTACTTTGAATTTCCCAGACTTGGGCTCTAGAAAAGTTTAATGGGCATAGTTCACTTTCTGAAACTTTACTAACAATAAAGAATAATTAAGCTCTTAAGTGACTATTCAATAATAAAAAAGCATTAACATTTTAATTCCTGACATTAAAATCTGAAAGGGTTTATTAGAATTAAGGTGAAAGTCCCAAAATACTTTTTATATAAAATTAAATGCCCACCATGTTTGACTTTTAACTGTTGATTGTAATTGCCAAAAACTACAGAAAATGTGAAGTAAAATGTCTCATCAATACCCAAGGGTCTGCCAATACTCATGTCACATGTCTCATCTCAGGTTTACTTTCAGAGACCCTTGAGGAAGACGTTGCTAGTCTTAACAAATCAAATATGTTAATAACCTTTTTGAATCAATAGCAGTGAAAATTGAGATCTTTTCTTGAGGCAGAACAAGGACCCATTCTCTTTTATATGGAGATATAAAATGAAATGCTAACTGAGCCCTTTTTCAACTTTTCTAAGGGCTTTAAACAGCAAGAACTGGCCAAACACTTTCTCAGCACTTTAGCTATCTCATTCCTTTGAATTCCTTCGGTGACGGCTGCTGTCCTCAGATCTGCTCAAATTTATCCCGACAGGCAGCTCGTCAGTGAAAGCTGAGGATATGCAGACATTATGGAAACTGACAACTTGCTTTGATTTTAGAGATGTCTTTTGCCAGTTCAAGCAATTTGGGTGGATTTGGTAGTTTCAGAGTTCCACCTCAGGTCCGTCATTATATCTGTGTAGCGCGGGGAGGTAGGCTGAGCCTCTTGGGGGAGAAACTCTTTGTCTAAATGAGGCAGAAAAGCAGTCTGACAGAGGAGAGCTCCCCAAGTAAAACACTACTCCATCAAGACATGCTGGTTGGTGTTTTGTAACAGGCCATGTTTCCAGTCAGAACTGAGTGTGCCATTTCATTTCAAGTTCAACTTTTGCATCAGGGGTTCTGGCAGGCTTCGACAGACGCATGAGTCACTTTACGTAAACAACACACCCATCCCCCTCGAATGACACAGTCATTAAAAAAGAAACAAAACAGGAAGGCTGAAACACAGCCACTCTGCAACTCTCAAAGTTTGACGAGAATTTTCCCTCATCACAGCACCGAGGGAGAACAGCTGCTCTGGAAGATAAATGAGAGCAAATCCACTTCTTGACAATTCATACTTGAGGTGTGCTGGAAAGAAAATCAAATTTACTAAAAAATCCAAATTATCATTGATGAGTGTGGGGGTTTTAACATGAGAAATCAAATGGGTTAATGATGTTGAACTGTTCTGGTGGCTCCATCCCAAGCCTACTCTAACTCTGCAACTCAAACTTTATGCATCTTCAACCTGAGACAGTAAATCCAGAGACAGGCAAGCTCATTTAGCCAGATATTATCACACAATGTGAGCTGCTGTCCTCAATGAAAGGCCTGGTTGTCTCAGGAGAAATGCATCATGGAACACCTGGACTAAAGTGTGTCAGTTTGACAGGTCTCAATAAAGACAGCAAACAATCACAAAGGTGGAACAACAAAAAGGATTTGGTTTTACTTTATCATGCCACGTCTACACTCATCAACAACATCTCCTTTCAGACGAGAACACTACAACAAACTCACAAAAAGGCATAACAGGCCAGTAGGTGGCGATAAATTCAACATCAACGATTTGTCAAATACCAGAGACGAACGGTGTGATACATAAAATATTGGGAGAGGCAGATAAAGCAGAATGTGGTGCAGTAATGCTAAAGTTAGCTGGAAATTTGTAATAAGAACTAGCAATGCTAACCAAATGTAGAGAAACTGGTTGGTGTTATTGTTTCTGGAACTGATCATTATGCTAAGCAACAGTGGGCATCCTCCATGTAAGCTGTGACATCATCGTTTCCCAAACATGTTCATACAGATACACAGAAGTAGGGCTGCACGATATATCAAAGAACAGCGATAAATGGTGTTTCATGCGCCATGCATTCACACTCTGTATTTCAATATATTTGGCTGATCAGACACAGCCCTGCTGCCCTAGATGATAAATGAAAGATATTCAGATCATTGACAGGTTTTTCTGTTAGTGAATCATTGTCTGAAGAAGAGCATAGAGAGAAAACAGAGAATTAGAAAACACGTTCGAAGGAGCAATGCAGCTATGTCAAATCTCGATCTGCCTCCTCCAGACTAAACTCTACTTTAGAAATTTGTAGTGATCACGTTTGTCCAGAGTAAAATTCATCACTATGAGCAGTTGATAATATAAAATAATTGTGAAGCTTATTTATGATCCCAGAACCAGAGGGGAAAGTAACAGAGCGTGCACACACACACACACCCACACTGACTCTGCGGCTCTGTTTCTCCCTCTCCCTCTCTGTTGACATCTCTGACTCGCTACAGTTTAAAGTTGATTTGTTTGTTGCCACAATATCAACACTGATCATCACATCATGATCGAAACTTTTATTAATGAGTTAAATCTTTATTCAGAGCAGAGCATTTATCATCTGCTCGCTTGCTCTTTTCGTCTGTCTCTCTCCCACCACAGTGTGGACATGTGTAAACTCTGAGTAAAAACAACAGAATTTATAAACTCAGTACATATATGTAGAACAGGAGGAGATAGTGGAGCGCTCCGTTTGCTTTAACGCAGTTAGCACACAGTGTGAATGAAAGAACCACTAGAGGGGATGTAAATGCCTGACAGAGCTGCTAAAAAACGTAAAAAAATAAATAAAAAATGTCACTGTCCAAGCATTTATAAAAATATTTCAAATTAACACTGCAAGTGGACATAGTGGAGATGGGCATGGCTCCCTTGGTGTCTGTGCTGAGGCTGGTCTGTGTGCCTCCTCGCGGCTGTGGAGCTGTCTGTGGTTTCTGCGTCAGTAGCCAGGGACTGCTTGTGTTTATTTATTGCAAGTCATATTGTCATGCAATATTAAACAGTGTTATTGCATATCGCATGTTTTCCTAATATTGTGCAGCCCTACACAGAAGCCACTATTTTTGAAAATCTGTATTTTAAAATTGATTGTAAAAATCTATTTCGGTGACCTAAATGGATGAGAGGCCCAAATGCAGAAGAAAAAGATTGTTTTGCTACAGGACATGAGTTTCCCTGTTCCCCTCAATGTAAAAGCCCCTAACCATTGTTTAATATCAGACTGCCCCCATGCCTTTTTTTATTCAATTATAATACAGTTAAAGTGCTCAACAAGGAGTCTCACAGTGACACATACCTTGACATTGTAGGGTATGTAATGCTTGGCCAGTGCGTCCGGGGTGTGCATCCATGATTTATCTGAAACGATACAAACAGCTCTCTCAGTCTCGTTCAATACAGCAGAGGTACAATCCGCTACACAAGAAGGTAAATTCTCACACAAGTGACAGAAGGTGTGAAGAAGAATATTACACAACAAACACAAAATGTCACAGAAAAAGCAGTGACTGAACCTAAAGTTCTAAGCAGAGAGGTTTTTTTTTTCCATTAGTGCTTCTCTTATTTCACCTGAAAGTTGCCCAATATGGCCACAATCCACCACAGCACATTTGTTGGTCACAAATCAGCCCTGCTGGAACAACTGGGGGTAGAGCACTCTGTTCAAGGGCAAACCTATGGTGGCAATTAGAAAAGGGCGAAAGCTGAAAGTCAGGAAACTGAAATGAGTGACCTGCTGGCTACAAGCCCATCTCTCTGCTGTGCTGTGACTCAACTAATTTCAATTTAATAAGCAGTGCTTTGCATTCAAAGTAACATGGATGTGACCAGGTGAAATTGCTCTATAGGGGGGGACAAATTAAAGTGAGGATGTATCCTTGCAAGCTCAGACTATTTGTGAAATATATGTGCCTCATTTAAACATCATTATGTTTTCACAATGTGAAAACTACATACCTCACAAGTTGTGGAGTTAGAGTATGACAGGTCCAGTGTGTAAGATTTAGGTGAAAGCGATCTATTGGCAGAAATGTAATATAAAAAAATCCTAGTGTTTTCACTTGTGTGTTTCATCTAAATTGTACAAATTGTTGTTTTCTTTATCCTAGATAGGCCCTTTAAATTAAAATACTTTACATTTACATGAGTGGGTCCTCTCTATGGAGGCTTCCATGATTTTTACAGTCGTCCAAACTGGAACAAATTAACACCTTTTGAGTTTTTATGACCACTGAAGGCTAGGGGGAGGGTAAAGTGATGGGTGTTCAGCTGCAACATGCAACTTCACCACTAGATATCATTCAGTTCTACACACTGAGCCTTTAAGAGTCAGATCCAGATCCGCACAAACATTTTTTTAAACATTTTGAAATGGTTATCTGTCCAGTTTTTGTGTAATCCTGCTCATAAACAAATTACCCCAGATGAAAACTGAATGTGCTTTTTAACGTGTTATTGCTGGTGTAACTGGGTTAAACTCAACAGTTTACTGAAACCAGACTTAAAGTGTAAAACAATGTCTTGATAGTCACATCAGGTCTAAGAAATCCCAATATTACAACATATAAAGTATATTCCATGAACGAAAACACATGAATCTTTTTGTGGCTTTCCAAGTTAATTCAATTTCCAGAGTTTTTCCAGTAACCTTAATATTTTTGTTTAAGTGCCAGTATGATTTCTGGCACATTCTTACACGGCACACACAGTTAATAACCGACTTGCCCTGCAGACGGTCTTTGAAGATTAAACCAAGGTTCAGGGATCATTACAGGTCACTGATGAAACAATTCAAAGCGTCCAATTATGCCGTTTTCAACATTTCTTAATCATCTACTGATTAGAGATCCTTCTCATTCTTCATTTCCCATTCATAAATGGCTTATCGCCCCGTTAATGAATGTTGTGACAAAAGATGAATAACTGTGACCTTGGGGCACTCAACTACTGTCGGTTGATTATGTTAATCAAGATTTTGATTGGTGATGGAAACAGTGTGAATCAACTTTACCATGTTCTTTACAAAAGTCCGTAATCACTTTGTTTACATTATTGTTGTCGACTAATTGGCTTGATGAATTCTAAGTCTATTATAATTAGTGTTAAATCAGTGGCCCGCTTTTGCTATTTTTGATTGCTTATGTTTGCTAATCAATCATATTATTTAAGGAAACAACTGCAAAATGCCTGACTCATAAAGGGGATTGTGTTTTATTTATCTGAACATCCTTCTGATGGCAAGAAATAAACAAATGCAGAGGCAAGCAACATAACACATAGTGAAAAGTAAAGTTTGTTTCACTTCTCAGATACTGCATTGTGAACTGGGAGCCTTTCCTCCACTTAACTTGTCCTCCTCCTAAGTGTTTGTAACAGCTGTGCAATGAGATTATCCCTGCTTGTACCTTGGAAACAGTCTCCTCCAAAGTGCAATCAATTTCCTTGAGGGACTCTTCAATGACAGTTGATAGAGGGATGATGTATCTCCTCCTCTCGTGCGCAGCTAAGGAGGTTAAGGAACTGTAAATTCCAGGAAAGTGTAAGGAGGAGTGGTGAGGGCACTGCAGGTAGGCTGACAGGTTTTTTTTTCAAGCCTTTAGCAGACACCGTTCTGATTAAAGGAGGGAAGGGGGGGGGTTGTCTTCTTTCCAAGTCCTTTGCTGCATAAAATGGCAACCAGGACAACACACCAAAAGTGTGTCCAGGTTGTCACAAAAGAAGATTAATTGTTGGGGCTTGACGATAGGTGATGGTGTCTGAAGGTCATTCTGTGAGGTTGAGTTGTCAGATGCTGGGTATGGATGGGAGAAAAATTCAAGGAATGACTGCCTGAAAAAGTGTCAATGCATCACTGTCACGCTGTAGTGAACTTTCTCTAGACACAGAGGCTGCATCATTTCTATACTCTGCTTGCTTTCCCGCAGAGCCAGTTGGGATTGTGAAAGGATAAAGGTCACTTCATGCATGTTACACTCCAGTAACTATTGCTATTAGCAACAGATGCCTTCGTGTTTCTTCATTCTGTGAAATCACAGGGGTTGAAAATTGATATTTTATAATTTAGCAACCCCGTAATAATACCAAAACAGTGAGGTTATTATGACCATACACAAATTACTATTAGGCTTGTTTATGCTGCCTTTACGTATAAATTGATACGTCCGATTCAGACAATGTCAGCGGCACTGGCTTCATACCTCCATATTTTATGTTGACACGGTTGTTGAGCAAAACATCCAATAGAGGGCAGTGCAGAGTTGAGTGTCTGACAGCAACAAAAATGCAAATGATGGAAGAGGTTGTGTTAACGGGTGGGCAACATATGATTTCTTACAAACTCGCAAAGCCAGTCCTCAAAGTTCTACCATAGTTGCAATTTCTTCTTAGAGTGCTATGGTCTAGAGATGTGCAGATCAGCTCTGATGACATCAGTATCCCCGTGTACGCTTGACTCATCTGCCCATCACCCACCCGGCAGAATTATTTTCTAGAATTTAGAGACCCGCACCCGCATGCCCATTCCACTCCACCTCTGCTGTTATAATATGGTAACATATTACACTTAAGAAGGATGATTTTAATTAAAATCACACGGTAAAGCTGTAAACTCTCACTCTCCCATTGCTAAAAATATACATTTCATAGGATAAACCTACTTAAAGGGAAGGATAAAAGTAATACAATGATGTCTGGTTATTAGGCCGCTGACACAACCAGTACATCTCAATCGCTCCCCATTTTCAGGCACTTCATGTGACCAAAATACCAAATGTGCACAGAGACTGGACATTTAACTTTGCTCGGTGTGCCTTGGAGCAAACAAAAGGGCCCTATGTTTTCATAGACTATTGCAAACTGCACAAAAAGTGACACTCTGTCTGGCCTCAAACGCAGCACTCATTGCATTAATGTAAAAAATGATCTTTGTTTGTCAGTCACCCACCTATACCCAATTGCTATTAATCAGAAATGTAAATTTTTACAACTTTACCCACCTGACCCACACAAGTTGTATTACTGCAATCCACGCATTATTACTATGGTCATCTTGCTTGAACTACTGGCAACGCTGCCCCCCATGAATCCTAGCAGTACTTCTCCATTTAATCTGTTGAGTTGGTTATCGTAAGCCTACAGAGGACATGCATGAAAACGGATGAAATGAACACACAAACATATCCAACATCGAGCATGAATGTGTACTGAGAATGTTCTATAATTTACTGTAGAACATACATCCATTGTCGGTCACGATGTTAAGGAGAATCTAACCTGAACCTTAAAATCCTGGGTTCAATGCAAACAATTTAAAAAGGCAAATAAAGCGTAAAGTAGTATTTTCAGTGCTAATATACTTCCCAAACAATGGCTACATAGTCTTCATTAGCCAACATCATAGTAAAGTTGACCTTTGATCACTTCATCATTTTTCAAACATGTGTGCAGGGACACACGTTAAATTGCTTTTTTCATACCAACTTTTTTGCCTTCAAAAGAATAGGATGGATGAACAGAAACGTTTGTAAAGTCACTTGGGAGGAAAAGATTCCTGCACACTGTGGTCATTTGTGGAATTAAAAGTGGTTTGATCTGTTAGACCTTCATCACAAACAATCTGTCTTATCTCCAACCTTACAGCTGTGTTTGGATTTATCTTACACCTCTTTATCTCATGTTTTACAGTGGAGCCAGGCATTGGTAAGATAGTCTGCACCTCAATGAGATGTGGTTCCAAAGATAAAAAAACACTTTTCTATGGTCCTGCAGTTGAAAAAAGAATCATATTATATAAGATATTTCACTGAAATGAAAACAATTGGCTAACGGGCACAGCTCTCAGAGTGGGTACTGTTTTGTCTATGTAAAGGTGGGGGACTTCCTTCAGGTAATTGTCAAATTAACCAAATCAAAAATGAATTGTCTATGTAAGACCTGTATCCTCACAATGGATTAAAAGTTAGTATTAATATTTATAACGATACCACTTCTATTACTGATGGAAACAACAAGAACGGTACCAACTGTATGTAATACCTAGTCAACACTTATTTAGTGTTGGGCTCTCCCCTCTTTAACGTTCTCTGAGCTTAGCTCTTTGCTTTTAGAGCTTTTAAATGCACAGTCTTTCTATACGGCCGCAAGAAGTGGGCAGGCAATAGCCTAATTCACTGCAGTGCTCAATCACTGACACACTGACATCTTGCTGGATTTGCACTGTTCTCCATCATGCAGGAGACAACCTCCATGCAGTGAAGAGCTACACCACGCTTCTACTGAGGCCCAGTAGGTTGTGTATTCCATTTAAGATGAAGCATTTTAAACTGTATGACTGCGTGGGCACATAAATCCATCTGGCTCCATTCATTAAGTACTAACATAGTGTATGAAGCAAAGGTAAAAGTGCAAGACAGTCTATGCAGGATGTTGCTATGACAGAAATATTGACAGGAGAAAATCTCGCTTGAGGTATTGTCTCGGCTGCGCAAGAGTCATTGATGGAGCAGTTTAATACAAGTTGATACAGATACACAGCAATCTACATGTGGGGCCTCATAGATGTACTCTCTTACAGTAACAGGTTTCAAAATGGTACTCCTCATAGCAGCATTAATGTACTTTCTATATTGTAAAGGTTTATGGTTTTGAATAAAGCCCCTGTACATTCTGCTTGAAAGGTGTGTTAAGAGTTTGTTCAATTTCAAAAACCATCAAGTGCTGCAAATATTGCTGGTAGAAGGAAATCTGGGCCCCATTCCAGGCTAATACGGATTATACAGAGCCAGAAAAGGAAATGCTTATGGATCATAGGTCTCGTCGGATGGCTTTATAAACCAGTTATAGAGGGATTCAGGCACATACAGCACCAGACTCTCCTTTCACATCAGTGTCCTTTCACTACATGGCAATCAGACATCCACAAATTAAACTTAGAGCAGCATTTATATTGGTATTTATATTTTCCCGTTATTCAGTTAACATGGCCATAGGGAAATTAAAGCCCATGTATCCCCTCCATCTCATTTTCTGTATGAATGCTTTGTTGATTCCATCATAATGATGAATGAAGGACGTCTGACCTCACTAACAATAAAAACACAGCGTCGCAGTTCTGAAGACTTTGTGAGGCTGATTCTCCACCCAGCCACGTTGGTTGGTTTAATTTCACCAGCTATCATGTAGACCATGCACGGGTAGGGAACCTTTATTCATATTGAGGGCCATTTCAATTTTATAAGATCCTTCCTTAGGACCATAATAAATCACAGAACACATTTATCACACTAACCTCTCTAATGCGATGTCTGGAACTGCTTTTCTTTGGCTGGTTGTTGAACATTTTCTTGTTTAGTTAAAAGTAACAACAGCTCATAATGTGATGAATGTCATTACTTTCAGCCCGTCAAAATGAAGTGCTGACCTTTTTTAAATAAATGTTTTCACGTTGTTGATCTGTCACAGTCAAATATCTGTTATTGTGACATCCCTGCACAAGGTATTGTTTTCACCTGTGTTCGTGCCTGTGTGTACAAAATATGCATGCATGGATTTTCACCAGACTTGAATGTAAATTGAGTAGGTCCACATGGTTAACTTTTAGAGCTGATCGGTTTAAGCTCAGGTCAACAAGAATATGGCCAAAAAAAAAAACATTTTCCAAGATACCTCTGCAGCTCTGGGGTGTATATACTGCACACAGGGTATGCTTCACTCCTCTGATTCCTTTTATATAAAGCTGTATTTCACAACATGCTACTCTGTGACTTACAAGAGGGTCCGCATGATCCCCCTGTAAGAGTCAAACTACTCAATGCATTTCACGTCCAAGAGCATGGGGCAATAAACATGGGAGATAAAAAATGATCAAGATCCCTGCTGGCATTACCTGCTAGACGTGATCAAGTCCAAAAACACAGCCAGATGCAGAGATAAAGGGGGAGGTAAATCAGTGGAGTGGATCTGTTGCTGGAGCCAGCCTTCACTCTCAGCCAAAAAGCAGCAGCAAGGTGCACAGAAATACACATTAATAAAAACTGTGGGACATTAAAGTACATGTGGGCCTGCATGATCTGAAGGCTTTTCAAGAACAACTTCTACCAGCGTGAACTGGCACAACAAGAGACAAGCTTGACTCTACTGTGAAATCATTGGCAAATAAACCTTGTGGGAGGTTGTCAGATGCACATGTAAAGTCCCTTATCTGACAGGGAATGTGGTGGCAATATTAATCCACAACTTTAGTCAAATGTGATGATACATTGAAAAAAAAATTGATTTAAGTTTCCTTTATTAATCCCACAAGGGGGGAAATTCTTTTTACACCAATTTTTATACATGCAGTTTAACCCAATCCCACACACACACAGAGGGCTCAAAGACATGCACACATTGGAGAGAGATTGTAGAATAGAGTGATGGGCAGCCCCAGGAGAAGCGCCCCGTGAGCAATTGGGGGGTATGGGGCCTTGCTCACGGGGCACCTCAGCAGTGCCCAGGAGGTGAACTGACAACTCTCCAGCTACCAGTCCACCTTCCATGCTGGACTTGAGCCGGCCACCCTCCGGTTCCCAAGCCAAATCTTTAGGGACTGAGCTACTGCTGCCCCCATTTTAGTCAGACAAATCACGTTCTTACGTTTATTGCAGCAGTAGAACATAGTTTGTTTTTGGCGTCTAGGCTCTGACTTAAATACTCCCCCAATATGATTTCACAGATATGATGGAAATGACGAGTTAATACTTGCAGCCCCACGTCGCAGCATACAGGTGGAGGCTGTGGTGGTGCAGGGGCTGAAGCAGTTGGAAGCAATACTGCAGCAGCACTGCGAGCAGAGGGGGTGATGGGAAATTTCTCTCCGCTTAAATAAGTCGCCTCATAAGGTGGGTGTGCATCCTGGATGATTGTGGAGAATGAGGTATGTCACATGATGTGTGTCACATGACTGCCTGAGTTGGTGGCCTGAACTAGCTCGCAGGGTTCGCTCCATTTGTTGCATGATGACACAAGACACAAATCTCTTGAATCCATTAAAGTCCAGAGTCCTCCGCGGAGGAGCAACTGCACCATGCCTCCTCTCATCTTCCTCATCATTGGATTTCCATTATGAACACTTTGAGATACCAGCTCATTCAGACACCAATTTAAACCTCAATGTGAAAATCTTTGGAGGATAAACATTCATCAACAGTTTGCTCAGCCACAGGAAACTGGGACACCAAGCATACACCAAGCATACAAGAAATAAAATATACTGTGCATACACATGGTTCCAGGTATTTCTGTATACATTGTGGTTCATGCTCTAAAAGAAAAAAAGGTCTCATCTCTCTAAGTGGGGAAAGCTTTCACCTAACAACCTGTCAGTAACCTTTTGGCATTGCTCGCTACAGATTGATTTTAACAAAAGTTGTAGGAATTAAATCAAGAGAGAAGGTCATGCATCTGTTGGTGTTCAGAGGTATTATCGCATTGCAGAGGCCAGGGGACTGTTGTCCTCTTAGTGAAAAGGCTTTAAAACACGATTTGACGGATGGATGATTGGATGTACCCTTAACAGCTTCCAACAAGTGCAAAGAGGTGCAGTACATTTTCGAGTTTCTGGGTAGCAGCTGGAGTTCCCAGAAATCAAATCCCAGGTAAAATGGGAGGAATGGAGCTGTATTTATATCACACACAATCAAACAGAAATGAAATGTGACCAGAATGCCTGCCCCACCTGATCACCATCTTAAAATGGAGGAACTAATGTGAAAAAGTGAATTATAACGCCTAAATATCATTAAAGCCTTGTGCACCACCTGGACCCTGGACACTTTCCCCAACACTGTCCACTGCTTCTCTAGGAGTGTTGATTCCCACCAGAGGGAGTGGGACAGATGGTGGTAAACACATCAAACTGTTTCGCAAACTGCAGTCCCAAATATCCCCCCCTCTACATTTGGCCAGGGTCACCTCAAGACACAAGTGTTGCACAACCCCCTCCGCTGAGACAAAAGCTCGGTAGATTGTTTTTGTTGTTATGGCCGTTTGTCCATTTAGTTTTAGTGGCTGGTTTGTATTCTCGTATTAACAGCTTTGTGGAATGAACAAACTTAAGTATGGAATGGTTTATTGCAGCCTCTGTCGGTCATACAAACTTTGAAGTTGCATCGTGCATGATTTTTAATCAGATGAAATAATAAACACATCACTCAGTATGTCACTTTCGCAACAGCTTTCAAGTTTTAGAACTTCACAGTCCTGCAGAATTAATGAGCTGCATAGGGCTAAAGTTGAGAAAATCTTCAAAACAAAAACTTATTTTTTACATGATTGACAAAGGAGTAACCCGATCTTAATAAACTTGAAACAGGAACAGTTAGAGGTTGATCCAGCTAAATCTTTTTCCACGACGTGTAGATAAATCCTTATTATTTCAGAGAAAAACACTGAAAGAGATGAAGCTGACGATGTTTCAGCTTTAACACACCCATTAGAGAAATAGAAACATCTGACAGAAAGGCTCTGTGTTGAGCTGGAATAGTATTTTTTGCTCACCTTTTTTCCTGTTGAAGGCGCGGTTCATAGTGGAAAAATGTGCGTCTATGAGGTCCCTCTTGGGTTACTGCCAATACTCCACCTGGAAAAGCAGCAGGAAAAACGCATTTAAAAATGGCTTTGACCTTAAGGAAGTCTAAAAACAAAGTCTGACGTTTTCTTCTGGGGGTGAGGCAATGTTTAGCTGTCCGAAAGTCCCAGGCCTCATCATCTTTGGAGTCTGTACTCCTGACCTTGTAGTGCTGATAATAAAGTGCTCGCTGCCTTAACTGTTTTAAAGCATTGGACCTGCCTGAGACTGGTGATCTCTATCAAAGACAAGCAATAATGCAACATTGTTTCCCATCCTCTTTTACAGTGTGTTGCCTTATGTTCTAATCTTTCCAAAAAGGAAAAAGAGCAGTTGTTTCTGTCAAAGTGCAACTTGTTCAATCCACCAAAACACATTCAGCTACACACTCCACATTCACGGGTTACAGAGATGGAATCCAATACCATTTTTATAAGCTAAGTCATGACGAGAGATGCTTAACGTCTAATCATCTTCAGATTTATAAGGAATAAAAGTATCTCAAAAACAATCATAGGGCACCCTGTTGAAAATATGAGATGTTTTTAATACCCAGGAATATATGGATGGACAACTCAATTTTACAGATAAAACATGTTTTTAAAATGGCTATGTAGAGGTCATAACTAAGCTTATAGATACTATAGATACTTGGGGGTGAGTCAGAAAATTCATGTAACTCGTGGAATCTGGTGGAAAGCATCTTGTCTTCTGACATGGTTGCTTGGTATGGACAGTTCAATGTTAAGTGAAACTGTCAACAGGGGTTAACACGGCAAGCAACATCAGAGGGAAACCACAGATACAACTAAGTGACAGGTGTAAGCTGTATGCCAAAAAGAAAGCTCTTGACACAACAAGCGATCCGTTCTATCCTTTGCATACAAAATTTCAAATGTTTTCTTTGGGATGAAGTTTCAACAGCCACCAGCCACCAAAAATGTCTACAAGAGATATTTTATCCTGAGCAGAGGGTACTGAAATTTTTGTAGTGGGTCTGTTGAAGTTCAACTGTTTGTGATTGAACTCTCCAGATTTACAGTTTTTTAAAATTATTATTTTTTTAACTATTTTGTTGTTGTCCTGTGGAGCGAAAGACAATTTCCCCACATTGTGGATGGAATAGTTTAACCCAACCTACCCCAAACAGTGCTGGTACTATATTATTACTTCATTCTCATACAGCCAGGATGAAGTCAGCGAAAAAACAAGGTGCTCAGTTTTTCTCTTTCTGAGTCTTACGGTACTTGACATGCCCTTACACAGAAACTGGTGCAGTCGACCCACACTGCGCTGCATTAAAGAAAAAAGGAGCAATTTCTTTTACAAATGCAAAATGTCCATCTCTGCAGCGTGTCAAAAATGTGACTCCTTGCTTTGCCTGTTTTCAGTCCTTTGCTTCAGTTCCTCATGAGAGCTCGCCAATCTTGCGGACCTCAAGGACATAGTGTCCAGGGCGAGGTAGCTGTCAGCGAGCTCCACAATCAATATTCTTTCTGCTCTTTTACTGTGGGAAAATATGCAAGACATGCTCCACAACAGCTACTTCAATCTGTGCCCTTTGCAAACAAACTTGTGACTGGGCAATTTAGGAAATGAATTGCATTTTCCCGTCTCTGGTGTTTTCAATATATCAAGAAAAGTCACTCTACATTTTCAGTGACTGAAAAACAAACCCAACAAATAACCAAACTGACAAGATGTTGTATCCTCCGAAACATTGCTTTATTTATTATGAAATACTGTGTGCTCTCTTCAGCGGACCAGAATAGTCAAAATAAGTTTTCATTTTTATGGAGAAAGAATGTGTTGCACTGATATTTTTCTGATAGCTGATATAGAACTTACACTGCTTACTTGACAACAAGGTTAATGGAGACGATGCATACTGGTATACAGGAAGGCAAACATGGAGGAAAATATTTCGACCTGATTCACATACAGATAATTAGACCCAAGCCACAAAAAACTGCGGACCTTGAAGAATCATACCATGTTATGAACTTACACACGGACACAAAGGGTTGAAAGAGTAGAAATGTGAGTCATTTTTTCGGAGCATTACAGTTCACCCCCATCGTCTCGCATCAGAAGACACATTTTTCTCCAGGGATGATGTTACAGACCTCAGATCTATTCAGGTATTACAGATATTGATATATTGTATTGAGAAATACAATGGTACCCCACCACATCAGATTTAACTGGATATAATCTGGAAGCAGACCAACTCTAGTGGGTCAGAAGATGATCTCTACTGTGGATATACTAAATCAGGGACATCTACTTTAATAAAGACTGTCAAGTCTGAATGATTGGGTGTAGATCCTGTGAGGTGATGTGTGGGTGGAAGGATTTACCTCTCTGTAGACAGGGAGGAGTATTTTTAGCCAAAACCCCTTTTGTTTGAGAGCACATGGCCATCATTGTTTGTTTGAATTTAGTGTGCTAATTGATTCTGGTATCTTATTTATATTCTTTGTATTATATCAGACTAGTATGCACTCTAGTTCCTCATTACAACCACATCAAATACGATTCTGTGATTACATTGTTATCAATATAGGTTCCTGTTGATGACCTCAGATGCTTTAACCTTGTAAGCATAATTTATCCCAGCCAATTTATGTATTTAGTTTTTAGTAATGTTATGCATTGTTATGTATTGTTTACATTATACAGAACCTATCCATCATGTCCTCAATTAATGGTTAAATTGCAATTGGATCCCTCTATTTAAATGTAAACACCAGCTGGATCTTCACCTTTAAACTACACGAACAAGCACAACTAATTGAATATATTCAGGACAAGTTTATATTTTGATTAAGTTCCATGTTTATTGGAGCTGCAATACAAATATTATGACTTAATTATCAAATCTATTTTAATACTTGAATATAACTACATTTAATAAAAGAGACCCCAGATTTGTTTTTCCACTTCTCAAAATGAATTCCTGCATTGTACAGGGACGAAGGGTTTGACAGAAATGATGCCATTCAGACAATAGGCTTTTATGAATCAGGCATCATCAACCAATCATCCCTTGGGGCTGAGAAATAAAATAAAAAGTTAAGTATGTGAAAACAAATCGATCACAGTAATGCAGGAGGGTAATGGGTCATTAGCTTTGACTGAGTAGCAGTACGGTGCCAGTGCGAAATGATAGATTCAGGCTATTGAGTCAAATGCATTATACTGGAAGGAGCTGATGATAAACAAACCATCCTTAAAACTACACCTCAAACAAAGCTCCAATTATTTCTTAATTTAGATAAAAGTGGCTTCACAATGATTTAAGCAAACTGTCTTCTTAGACTGAGAAATGAGAAGTAGTGAGCGGTGCCTGGATTCTTCCCGATGCTCAGAATTAAGGCCAAACAGTTAAATCTTGATTTCATCAGACCAGAGAATCTTGTTACTCACAGTCTGAGGGTCCTTCAGGCTCTTTATGTGTCTTTCCCTGATGAGGAGCTTCTCTCTGGCCACTCTGCCATTAAGCCCAAACAGTGGAGTGCTATAGTGAGAGCAGCCTTTCAGAATGTTTCTCCCATCATCACATAGGATAGCCAGATTGCTAATTAGCTTCTCTCCCTTATGGCGACTCTTCTCCTCTGATTGCTCAATTTGGAAAGGTGGTCACCTTTCAGAATAGTCTTGGTTGTTCCATGTAAGAATTGTGGACCTCAGAAGATTAAGTGCAGCAGATTTCAATCCTTAAAGATCCCATCACAAGTGCACAGTAGCTCATCTGATTACAAACTGACAATACACAGGTACCATCCATCCTGAATGACCGCTTGTGATTGGATCTCACTTCCTGCTCTTTATGCAAATAATTACAACTGCCATTTTTGTTCGTTACAATCAAATTATGTTGTTTTTGTCCAGCTTAAGTTTACAGATCAATCAATCAATAAATCTAATTATATGTGTATATAAAGATGTGTGTATCATTGCGAGAAAGATATATAGATAGCAAGAATGGCTATGACAATGTGTTAACATTATCTGTTGGTCAGTGTGTATATTGTGGTGGTGGCTGCAAATATATCATCATGTGGACACTTATGTTTTAACTGTGGTGGATAAGAGGAGTGGAAAACCTGAGATAGTGTTAGGAAACTTATATCAATATCATATTTCAGTTTTCCTTTTCAATACATTGGAATAAATATCTGTAATTGTGCTTTCACAGAATTATTGTAGGGTTTGAGTGTCGACTGAAGAGGGGGAAAATGATTTTAAATGATCATCATCAGGATGCAACATAAGTACTTGTGGAAAAAAAAGTGAAGTGAAGCAATAGTACAAACTAATATGGCGTATAGCTGAGGAAAATGTAGTTTGCAGATAAGAATACAATGTATGTGGGTTTTTACTGTAAGGGGATATTTTCCTGCAACACGGGCCCTGGAAAGGGGCAGGAGCAAACTCTAAATGGAACAAGCTTAAGGGTGGAGACTGGGACATTCCTCAGTCTGCCAAATCATAGTATCTCTGCTGCTGAGAAAAAAAACAACCTGTGTTCCCTATTTACAGGTCTAACTAGCTGCTGCTCAAAGCATTGCATGGGTAGATGAACAAGCACAGTATTGTTTACATTTCACCAAATACAGTGGGAGAGGATTCTGCACATCTCAGCACCAAAGTACTCTGCAGTATCTAGACTGCCAAATTAAGAACTTGGCAGTGGTGGCCCTGGTACTTAACTACAGCTTTTTTTGAGAAGCAGCTTTTTGGATTTAAGTGCCTTCATCCTCAAAGCAAGTTTGACATATTTTTGTTGCAAGGGAGAACATCATTATGAATACAGCAACCCTTTAATGGTTTGTGGTGTTTTATGTTGTGTCATTTTGTTCTCTTTAAAAAAAAAATCTAATCTAGGGATAAAGGACATTGTGGATCCTTTGTGGCATGAGATATAGAAAGGATTTAGACAACCTCTCTTTATTTCAGTTATAAACAAAAAATAAATATTTAAAACCAGAAGCAGCCCACCAGGGGTG